TCTCTCAAACAGATGCATTCTGGCTTGGGGGGAGGCTTTGATGTTCTGTCCTCCAGTGAGTCCATCCAGTGTTTGGCTCCACACTATAAATGAGAATTTCTAAAGCCACAGCTTCTTGTGATTAGGGCTCTCACAAGCCCAGATGCCTGACTTCCATTAATAGCAGCAAAGCTGTTGTTCCTGGACCAGTTTTGAGTATTGATTTGCACAGGAATCGTGTGTGTTATGGTTCCATTACAACTTACGGGCTTTAGATGAGATTTATAGGCTGGTTTGTGGCTTGTGTTATGCAGCACGTTACATCACAGCAATCTGTCACAGGCTGATGCAGACAACTGCTTTATTTTGCAGAGATTAAACTACTCATAAAGTAGAGGAGTAAATGAAAGAAGGGGGAAGGTTGTGCTGCTCAAGGAGTGTATTTCTCTTGCAGTGTTCTGTGTACTCTGGCCACCCCAGCCAGTGGGTACTGCTGGGCATGGAGCATTACCCAGTCATTTTGGGGGCTGGGCTGTATTTTCTGTCTCTCCAACAATGTAAGGAATGATTGCTAGAAGCGTTACCTGCACACAGTGTGGCTCATTCCTTGAACATTTGAGGGAACTTTGACTTCCCCAGGAGTGCTGCCCAGAGCACCCAAATCCAGTAATCATCCTTTTATTTCACTTGTGTCCTAACTACGCATGATGTGTGAAAGAGCACAGAAAACAGATTTTCTTATGGAAGACCCTTGCTTCCTTTTCTTGCAACTGGGGCTCCTCATACTTCTGCCTTCTCTGCCTAAAGACCCTTTAAAATCGTCTTAACTATACATTGAAGAGATGTAGGGAGTTAGGTGGAAAGGAGTTAATTTTCCAGCAGGACAGAAGTGGTACCACATGGCAAGGTCTCTGCTGGTGCACATGAGCTGAACTTTTGGCATTGACCCCTGCACTTCCACAGCAAGCCCCAACCAACCAAGCAACCAGACATGGCTGGGGTATGAATCCCATTTGTGAAGGACATCATATTCAGGCTGCATACATCTATATCTCCCAACACTACTTTTGCATTTGTTAAAAAAACAGAACCAAAAAAATACTTATTGTAACACTCAGAATCCCTGCAGTAGACAGCAGTGAATTTGGCCTTTCATTTTGATTTCAGGAAATTGTACATTTGTAATGAAGCAGCAGAGTTGGAATTGTAGCTGAAAGTCTTGTCAGATTTACCTCAGTGCACAAAGAACCCTTTGGTTTTACTCCCTTATGCTGTTTGGAATCTGTCACAAAGTGATGGTTTCAACTTAAGAGCACAGGATAAGCAACTCTCAAAGGTGAAACAAATGAAGGTGTCTGACAATTTGATGTTCAGCTTGTTTGCTAAAATGCAATTACTTGCCTTCCCTATGTTTAACTAGCCAATCACACTCCTAGAAACCAAGCCAGCTGCAGACCAAGTGAGTTCTGAAACTGAACAGTATCTAGTTTTTATACTGTTGCTTACGGATATTGTTGTAATGTCACAAGCTGTGTTGCAACAGGAAAAGCAGTAAGGCCTTGCACAGCCTGTGGGCTGAGACAAGCACTGCCTGCAAACAGAGGGAGAAGGAAGAGGGGAGGTACGAAGATACAGACACAGGGATGGGCAGACATGGTTGGAGGTGTTCAGGCCACACTGTGCCATGTCCATCCGTGTGCTGTGCACAGGTGCAGGTGGCCCACAGGCCTGAGAGGTAGAGAAGAGTTTTCAGCATGGTCCTTCCTTCCAGCCTCCAGCAGCCAAGTAAGGAAACACGGCCGGGCACATTCTGCTGAAGGGCAAGAGAACAGGGAGGGTAAGGGAGAAGGCTGATTTGACAGATACATCCCAGGGAAACTTCCTCCTTAGCCTCTGCTTTGAGTAGCAATGCATGTGAAAGCTCGATACCACAGTATCTTTACAGCTGGGAACTTTTGCTTCTCCAGAATGCTTCATCACGGTGTGTACTTGTGTAGCTTAAAAGCTTTACTGTTGGAAAAAAGGCCAGTAAACATAAGGGAGCTGCTTTGCCATGACCAATATAAAACTTCTGAGCTGTATGTTTCAGAAAAAGGTGTATTTATTCTAAAATGTTGAAAAGGTATCATAAATCAAGAATTATGTACTAAGGAATTCAGATATAGATGTCAGTCAAAGAAATCAGCATATCGTGCAAAGCATTTTAAATTTTGACATTGTTGCAGTTCCTCATGCCAGGGGGACAGCTGCAACCTGGCACAACTCCCAGCTGTGAAAAAGCTGCTGTCACTGAGGCCTGGCTGCAGCAATTCCACCCAGGAGGTGAACGAAGGGGTTTGTGGGTTCAGCCAGTCGTGCCTTCCTGATGGTGGGGTGAGACACACGGGCCTGGCTGAGGTCTCACCTCTCAGTGCCCTGGCCATTCCCAGGGAGATCCTCCTGCTCTGATGAAATTCCATTATCTGGATGCAGTGACACACTTGACCACATTCCAGGTCACTGGGTGAGGGAAGGAGAAGCTGGCTTCTCTTTCCCTTTAAACCCTTCGGCTTCCTGGCTCCGATGGGGGGTGTTTTGTGAAACCTCCTGTGCACAAAATGTACACAAATGGAGGATTCCAGGAAGGATAATAATGCCTTTGTGCCAAGGGCCACAGTCTGGGCACCAGAACTGAAGATTAGAGAAGTATTTTGGCATATGTGGAGAAGTGTGTATAATTTTTATATATTAAAACATCTGTCTTGCATTAATGGTTGAATGAGTTCAGAACTGTAATCCTCTATTTTTTTTTTGTTCATAATGCAACACTCACAGCTGTTGTTGAAATGCTAATACTTAAACCATCACATAATTAAACATCATTCTCAGTATGTTAAATTTTTAAAATAAAAATGGTGTGTGAACTATTTAAGAGTCTGTGTGTCTTATAACACATTAATGTAAAAACTATTTTTGGTCAAAAAGTTTTATTTTGATTGTTCTAGTTAAGCTAGAAGCTTGATTGATTGTTGCTTTTGATTGTTCTAGTTAACTAGTAACTTGCAAATATGAATTAAATTCCAATCCCTTTCTAATGCTGAGAGGTACACAGGAGACCAGAACAACTATAAGAAGTTTAAGTACATTTTATTAACAATGCATCCCTTTGATAAGACTACGCTTCAGGAGGCCTTTAATGCTCATTGACATGAACTGTACACAGTATACAAAAAAAAAAAAAAAAAAAAAAGGAAAAAAAGAAAAAGGAAAACACAAAAAAAAATCAAGATGGGCAATACCATTTTGTGACAAGCCTCTGTTTAAATTATACACAGCTCAATGCAATATTCTTACGTAAAATATATAAATACTTTTTCTTTCTATGTTACAGGTATACAATATAAATCAGATTTCAATGTCTGTTCAGTGACCTACAAACACTAGAACCTCCAAATATGTAGCAGCGTATTACTAAACAAAAAAATGACCACACAGGGAGAATATGTATTAAGATTTTTCTTGATCCTTTCTCTCAGATCAGAATGATTAATCTAGATAATGTCTTGTAATGCAGTTTTAGGGATGCTGACAGCCCAGGATTGGAACAATTTTTCAATTAGATTTACAAAGTGTAAATTTGAAGGAACTTTTTTCCCCTTTAGACATAGCATCTTATGCTGAAATACCCTATTCAGTGGCAAAATGAAGTTACATTTTTTTGGCATAAATAACATTTTGCAAATAAAATAGTGTATTTTAAAAAGCAACTCAAGCAAAAGGTGCAATTTCCGCATGCTGTGGCATTGCTGTCCATCTACGCTACAAAATTAACCCAAAGAAAATCCACATTTGTTAATGACTATAAATCTGTTTAAAACAAAACTACGCTGGGAACTATTGTGAATTGAACAAAAACCAAGCAGATTGGAGACCTCCAGAAAAATAAAAACATGGTTTCCAGCATGTCCTCAAAAGTCTTTTGCAGCTGTAAAGATTTTGCTCTCACATATATTTTGTACACCTTTCATAAGGACACGGTAACAGAAGTGTGACTAAGAAAAAAAAGTTGCTGGACCTGCATTCCCATGGCTCCACAGCGGCTCAGAGCGGGACTGGGGGGAGGTGAGCGGGACCTCAGAGCCTGGTGAGAATTCCTCTGCTGCGATTGCTGCCCCTGAGCTCATGCTCGCTTACAAGCTTTGCCAGCTTCCTGCTGCCAAACTGCCAAACACCAAGTCCAAGGCACAGACTACAGAGCAGCAACTCTTCCATCCCTCACCAGATTTGGTTACAGTGCATTTCTCCTGAACAGCTACCTTACTCTTCGGACACCTAGGAGAGGCACTTTGGTTTTGTTTTCAGTCTCACTGCAAACCACAACTCCCTTTCCAGAATACTATGTGTGTTTCAATGAAATCAAAAAGATATGATTCTCACAGGTGCCTTATAAATGTTTATAAGGGCAGCTTACCTCAGTGTGTTGAGCCACTGTGCCCAAAACTAGTGAATTGTTTAGGACTCCACTTGTGGAAAAACCACCACCACCCCACAAAGAGAGCACATTTAGGGCATGTTTGTCAGACGTCAGTCAAGCAAGAGCTGTCAGATGAGGAAAAGCAACTGTTTCAAGCACAACATGCCAGGGGCCCCACATACAAGTTGGGAGCTTCAAAGCCTGATCATCTCCAGCTCCAAGTGGTGTCCACAACAGCTGGGAGTGTTCTGCATTTCTGAATTTCAGAGAGGTGAAAAGTTCTCCTTCCCCAAAAGGAGCCACTGAGCCCCTCCGCTCGTCCTGCTTCCCTCGGTGGAGAGGACCGGGCCCTTGCGGAGGTGAGTTGGCTCTCTGCTCCTTGGAAAGGGCCCCCCTTTCCCCTGCCTGTCAGAGCAGACCCAGAGACAGCAGGCAGCTGCTGCTAATTGAGACTGGTTCCACAAGCAGCCTCTCCCTCCTGAAGCAGCTCCCGCCTCTGAGCTGTGTGTGAGTTCCTGAGGAGTTTTCTTTGCCACAGCAACCAAAGTGCCTTTGTATACAGTGTAAGTGAATGCTACACACATTACCGTTTATTGAGCATTATCACCAATCACTCAGACTGGAAATATAAAAAGTGGGTGTCTGTCAGCTTCCCTAGGAGAAGTGGAAGAGATTTTTTATTAGGGCTAATGTAAGCACAATCATTATTTACTACAGCTTTCTTTCAAAGTTTCTCATGATACAAATAAAACCCCAAAATAAGGACTTTGAAAGGGACATTAAAAAAAAGAGAACTATAAAATTAGAAATTCACAGTTTATAACTAAGCCAATATAAATTTCCTTCAATAACAGTATCCCCTTCATCTGCCAATTAAAGTGAAACATCAATGTGAGCTTAATGTCAATGTGTAAATTAATTTTCTAGAAATGTATGTTATGTACAATACAGACTTAACATCCTTGATGCATACTTGCTGAAATCTATTGACACTCATACACTTTCAGAAGAGAAATCACGCTTTATAACTGAATTTGCAGCCATAATTTTTTATGTCAAGTTTCTATTGTCATGGATCCCCACACAAGCGCGTTATTCAGAACATATGAGCATTTTGGGATGGATATTCTTTTAAAAGTATATTTGCTTATCTTTCTATAATCAGAGGCCTTCCTACGATGCTTTCTACATTAAGTGCTATGGGTTAAACTTAAGAAATGAAGAGAGGTGGGTTTTTTAAATACAGGTGATAAAACTTGTTTATTTTGCCTTAACTGCAGAAAAATAACATGGAGTTGTTTGATGTAACCCCATTTAGTTATTAAAACAAATCTCTTCTACTCTAGCCTAACTGAGGTAGTGTTTGAAACTACTGTATAACATACGCTATCCCCATTTGTGGGAAAACTACATTATTTTCCTTTGGAGTTTATACCACTATTTGGTCTACTGTGATTGACATTTTGGTTTTACAGAAGCATTTATTTCTCATGACCAGAAGCCCAATAGTTACTGGTGTGGTGTGTTTTCTAAACATTTCAAACATGTCTTGCCACACAGATGTATTATTTATGTCAATGACCATAGAAGAGTTCAATCAGTTTCTTTTTGCTCCTTTCAGTGGGAACTCATGAAAAGATAATCTTAGGAACTAAATTTGACTACGAGCAGCAATTTACAGTCTGCTTTACCAGAACCTGATGGTATGCAGTGCACATAAGAATTCAGTGAAGTGATAGCTGCAAAGCAGTGCTTATGTGACGTCATGAAATTTCCAATAAGAACAAATAAATTCTACATTTCACTAGGAATTGTGTGTTACTGTTCACAGGACTACTTATTGAAATCTCCAGTAGCATAGCTAGTAAGAACAGAGATATGAGCATCAGGATAAATTTCACTTAAGTATTAATCTGACAATTATAAAAAATGGTAGGAGTGAATGGATAAAAATACGTTCTACTTAGTACAGTCCAGCTGAATTATTCACCTATATCAAAATCAAAGGGTAATCCCCTCTATTACAGGCATTCTAACAAAGGTGGCCATGCTACTGTATATACACATTTGCATATATTTATACTACCTTTATATAAAGGCTTCTGAGTCTTTAGATCCATGATAAAAGTGACAGGGATTCCTACAATTTTTTTTTAGCTTGCACTTACTAGTTTAGAAACGGCACTAGTAACATGATAGAGGCAACTACTTCAATCATTACCAGTCACTGTATCATTTAACTTTTGCAACAAGTCTTAAATACCAGTACAAAATTATAAGTACAGCTGCTCCAAAATTTGTTACTTAAGGCTTTTCACTACAATTATTAGTACTATCTGATGCTTGATCACTAACCCATTGAAAATTCAAATAAACCTTTGTTTTTATAAAAAGCTGTTTCCGTGGAACTTGGAAAACACTCATACTTAAGTGTCCTCACAAAACCTGCAATGACTAAATGTCTTCAAGTTCAGTTTATACAATATTTGCTTATCTGATACAAATCATGCGTTTTAAAGGATTGTAGTTGAGTAAGACCCACATTTGTACTATATGAGCATGAGTGTAGAAACTGCAAACACATGCATAGTATTCAGGGAAAACAATCTGATTTCAGCATTTTAAGGTTTAAATGACTTGTTTTGAAAATCAAATTGTAGTGAAAATCCTTAACTGGTTCAGACAAGATACATGTAGGTAAATGCAATGAAATCGGAGAGACTGCTAATAAAATGTCTTAAAACTATAGCAATATTAAAATAACTTAATGAAACCTCAGATTCAGAGGCATTTCTTTCTGTCTGAAGTTACAAATCCCCAAAGTAGTGTTATAAACAGTACAAAAATCAACAGAGAAGGGCTAACATTAATCCCCTGGTGCCCACAACCACAGCATGGCTCCCCATTGCTGGCAGTGGAATGCACCCCCATCTCTCTGATTCCTGGTGTCCAGGTTTAAAAAGCAAGGCATCGTTCTGCTTCTCTGGAACAGAATTGGAAGTCAATTAAAAACGTCTCTGCAAGTTGTCCTATTTCATCGTAGTTTATGGTAGAAAATGAAATGAAAACTTGTGGAGGTGTTCAGTGCTCGGCTCTTGCATATACTGGTAATTACTATTATTAAAACTAAGGTAATGTCTAATAAATCCCCAAAGGGCTCAAATGACTGTGCCAGTAATTGGTTGAGGAAGAAAATGTTTTCAGTTCAGTCTTCAGGTACCAGTAGCTTCTGGAAGGTTTCGAAGATGATGTTCCAAACTTTTTATCCAGTCAGTGGGAGGTTGTCTGAGCATTTCATAGTCCATATGCAGAGCACTGCCTGAGCAGAGGTCAGGACTCAGCTGATGCATCAATTACAGGCTGTTGTGTCGGCGTTGCCAAAATAGCCTCTGCCTCCTCATGCATCTGAAAGGGAAGGATGGAGTATTAATGTTGCTAGAGATTTTACTCAGGGGGCATCACAAAATGGTTTCCTGTAGTATGTACCTATCTGAAAGCATCTTTTACTCAGGACATGGAATCTGCACCCAGCCAGCCATTTCGGTACATTCAGTGCACCCTCCACTCACCTGCAAGAACTGAACATCTTGGAAGAGCTCCTGGATGAACCTTCGGGATGGAAGTCGAAATGTACAGTGTGCTAGCAAGTAGGACACCTCAGAGTAAAGGCATATGTCATCAAATGCTTGGGGATACTTCTCCTTAATTCTGACAAGAGAATAAACAAAATTTTGTAAGTCTTGAACAGATTTCCATTGTATTAAAAAGACCCCATCTTTTCAATAAGATGTCATCATTAATTCTTCAGTATAGGAATTATAAATCCCAGAACTGACACAGTAAGAACATCACAACAGACAGCATTACTTTGCACAAAACTGGAAGAAATCTAAGCTAATGAGATGAAACAGAATATATGGCTTTTAAGTTGTACAGAATTACTGTGATTGCCTAGGCTTAAAATAACAGACTTGGAAAGAGAAGAGTGTATCAAATAATTGGCATCCACATGTACAGCAGTTATGAAAATATGGAAAAAGATTAAACTAATCTTTTAAATCTGTAAGCATTTTTGAAACTAAACCATACACTTCTGCATTTTCTTTTAGCAGTTGTTGGTTTCCATTGTCTTAAAACTATAGCAATATTAAAATAATTAGCCCAAAAACCTACAGGTTATAACACTTAGTCCCTGGATTTATATTCCCATATCTGAATATTTTTTAAAAGTAAATTATTTTCAGTAAATTATTTGCTTAAAGTAGAGCTGGGTTTCTCAAGAAATCACTTTCGGTTTGTTATTGTACTTATCTATTATTCAGCAAAAATAAAAAAGTATTTGTTTCTTTTATCTACATGCTACACTAGGTATGTAATTACTACAGTTGAATTACTGATTTTAAAAGGTTTGGTTAAGAGTAAATAATAAACACAGAGCAACAATGTAAAGATTAATCGTTTACCTTCTACATTACATTCAATCCTATCTGCCTGACAACTTTTGAGAAGTGAGGTTATTCATGGTCCCTGAGACCTTAAGAGAATACTTATGACTAAGTGTCGCTAAAGTATCTGTAATGCACTGAACTTACGTCAGGAGTCCAGTTTCATGGCCCTTAGTTCCTACTGAACTGCTCAAGTTGATAACTAAACGCAAGACCTCTTTCCGCAGAAGTATCCTGCACACTGGTGTGTCATCTGGGATTGACTTTACTCCTGGAAAAACAAATAAAACAGTGTGGATTTAAACAGAATTGTCTTTGGCTGAGCTAACCTTGCACAATAAGTCTGTTTACGCATTTCATACACACATGAACACACACACTTACATATGTATTCTGATCTATCAAAAATATTTCTACTGAAATTAGAACTTAGAACACCACTATTTTCAGGACTTTAAACAGTCAACCTTTTCAAAAATATTTCCACCATTTCAAAGAAAAACCTGCAAGTTAAAGTTACAGTGGTATTGTTATCACTAAAGCATGTTGCAAACTGGATGAGCTTCTATCAGATATGGGAGAATTCAAAAACCAGCTACTTCATAAGAAACCATCATAATTCAAAATATAATACACAAATACATAATAAAGTATATCTTTACAGTAATTCAATAATTCTTAAACTTTTTTTTAAAATTAACATCTGTAGAAGAAAAGACAATTTGCTTGTAATGTCAGGTATTGAATAATCTGCAGAAATGCTGTATAGCAGAGGGAGAAGAGTTTAGAACTGTATTCTCCCACCTGGAGATGGATGATGTTTTTATTCAGAGTTTTCTGGTTTTGTCTAATAAAGAGCATTAATTTGTTGCAGTATACATAAGTGAAATATAAGTTTTTCACAATGCCTAAAATATATGTTATTAGTGATAATCTCTAATAATCATAAGGCTTTCAGACTTACCTAATACAAGCTCTGTACTCTTGGTGCTGCTGGCTGAACCATGGGATACTGCATCACTACAGCCTGAAATTCCAGAAAATTTGGAGGAATGCACATCTAAGTGATTGTGAATGGTCTGCCCACACCAGTCAGTATATGGAATGTCTGAAAAATCTGACATAAACAAGATGTACCTTTGTTATTCACACTTTTCCTCACTTCACATGCTTTCATTATTTTTCAACAATTGCAAACGTGCAAGATGCACTAAGTACTATGCATAAAATCAGCTCAGAACTAGATGGTGGATTTGGGACAAATATTATTCAAACTCTTCCAAAATTATCTTTTAAAAAAAAATCTTAAAATACATTAGTGGAGTCTTTTCCAGACACTGATGGAAGTCTGAGAAGCCGTCACACATAGTACTGATATAGTTACTGATATACCCATGCTCCATTTTATGGAACACAATAGAGATGTTCTTGTATGTGCAGACTTTTTTTTGTTCACACAACTGTCACAGGTGTTTGCAGGAAGGGCTCTGGCAAGAGCCAGGCTCTGCTGCACCTGTAACTATAGGTGGGATTTTATCTGCCACCCCTTCTTACTACTAACTCAACCTCCAGCTTAGCTCTCTGAGCCATTCCTCACATTTGTGCATCACTCCCTTTGCCAACATTGCTACTAATAAATGTCTAACAGTACTGTAAAAACAGTGAGTGCTCCTACTAAAGCACCCACTACTGGATTATCTTTCCATCACAGGAATTGACAAAATGCATGTAACTGCAAGCTCTGCAGAGAAGGTTAGAAAAAATAACTGCAACTCGCATCTGAATCTCAAAGTATGAGAAAAGATGACTTAATCACAGAAATTACAGCTCAGCTTCAACAGACTCCACAGATTTCCTTCATTGTACTTTATGGCACAGACTTGATTTGATGTCAGACTTTTCATTAGTTGAACAGCAAGTGTCAGGTTTCAGAACACGCATTTTAAGTACTAAATAAGGTTTCAAATTTTTTTATTTTGACATGCTATTAGAAATACTAAAGAAATCGGCAGACAACTACTCCTACTAGTACTACAGAGTGGAAAGCTGGAAATGACCATGGCAATACCACTGGTTGCACAATGAGCTTATCAGAGAAATAATTTTAAGGTCAATAGTCGGTTAAACAAAAACCCTACCAGATTATTTAAAGATGAACAAAAGCCAGTATGTTCTCTCAGTTTTAACACACTTCACCACAAGAAACACTAACCTGCACGATTATAGGAAGAGCTCACTTTGGTGTTAGGCTGATAACCCAGAATCTGAACACAGACACAGTAAAGACAGTTCTCATCTGTGTGCTCCTGGAGCCCTGTGTCCTCGGTACCTTCTAAGAACTGACAGGCATCTGAACGGCTGGTATTCATTATTTCTGTGAGACTGATCTGCTGGCGGAGCATCTGAAAAGGGCTTTTGACAACATCACTTGCACCTGATGGAAGACCTGTAAATAAGATTCAGTTATCAAAAAACTTCCACAAAACCAAGCAACCAATGCTAACTCTTTCAATTAATTCCACTTTCAAGCCTTTTAAGGCTGGGGACAGAGTGCATGTGAAGACCTATAGAGTGTTTTTCTGGAGTGGTTAAGCTCCCGAGATTGTTAGCATTTGAGAAGAGACAAAGTTTTAGTTCCAACTTATTATATATAACAAAACATTGCAAAGGACAGAATTCAACCTCTAAATACACACACTGTAAGAAGGTAAGTGGTAAATCCTGACATGGTATCAACATTACTAATACCCACATAACACCAATACATTACCAATTTTCATGTGTCAAACCAGATTAATACAACGATATACCAGATGTTGAATTACACATGCACCAACGCAAAAATAAACACAATTTAAAAAACTGTAACTTAGTGACCGTGACAGGAAGAAACTAGACTCAGCAATGCAGAAACAAGCAGAAGACACTTTAGTGACATGCTCTTCCCTGGGTGGAAAAAACAAACAAATACAGTTTTGAACAACAGTTACTTTACACTGAAACGTAGCAAACTACAGAGACATACTTCCAGCAAAATCAACTTTGTGTATAATATAAAAGGGGAAAAAACCCCAAAAATGTAGGACAACAGCTATCCAAATAAACTATTAAAAAAAGTGTCAAGCCTTCTTTTTTTCAGTTGAAAAAACCCATATCTAAGACCCTACATTATCTTCTCTAGAGATACATTCCAGAACAAGCCAGGCATTAGAACACTTGCAATTCTCTCATCCCATAATCTTCATTGATCAATTGCCATGGACACATCACAGAAAGACAATTTACTTTCTGAAATACACATCTATTACCGTAAGTTCCTATAAATGATCTTGTAATCAAAGGGAAATAGTTCAATATGTGGGATTCATATTTTTCTAAGCTTAAATTTTGTTACTTCCTGTAATACAGCATCACTACCAGACTCTGAGCAGCATTAGCTCATGTTATCAGAGATATGCAGGTTTTCCTTCATTTTTTTAGAGCAGGACCAAACTTTGAAGCAACACATTAACTCAAACTAAATGAAACAGGAAATTAATGGACTACTATCCTGATTCCAGAACACAGTCCTCAAAGTTTAATAGCTAAAATGATGTTTTCTGTAAAGAAAAATTAACAAATAAATCAACAACCCATCCAATATACCAATAAACAACAGAAAGCTACAGGAGAAGATTAAAACCAGTACCTCCTGCATCAGATGTAAAGACCCTAGATCCATGCTCATCAAATGGAGGTGTAGTTTTCTTCTGGAAATATGGGGTTTCCTTTACCTGGAATACCCAAGTGAAAATTAAAATTAAAATTAACAGAGGTGATAATCAAACATAAGAAAAAAAAAAAAACATTTTATGAGGAAATTAAATCTTGCTTTTCTTTCACTTCAAGAAAAATGCATCATTAGAGGAAGACATTAAGAATGAGCTCCTGAGTACTAAAGAAAAGCCAAATGAGAAAAATATACATCTGTGAATGAACATTATTGACAAAGGCTCATCAAGAGTCAGCAGATTTTAAATGGTGGTGACAGGCTGTAAGGAACCAGTGACCCAGAGTGGCTGTTCATAATCTGTCCATGATCATGCAACACCACTGGAGATCTTGGGAATGAAGTACAAAAGCAACCAGGACATCTAAAATGCTGCCTGTAGATTGTAGAGCTGAGGCATGTCTCAACTACAAAGAGCTGAGAGAGACAAAATGAGGTAACAAATATGCCACAATGACTTGAAGGAGAAAGAAAAACTAGTCATTTCACAAAGGAAAAACAGAAGCAGATACATGATTTAACATAATTTTGCCCTATGTTTAGCAATTTTGTGAGATTGGTAAGAAATTTATTTAGATTTGAAAGGCAAATATTAAGTAAGATAAAGATAAGGAAGACCACTTTTACTTTTGACATAGACCATGTCCTGATTTTGATGATTAAGTAACACAGTATTAAACCCTATGATGCATCAGTTTGTTAAATAGGAGTGTGTTTCTACCAAGTAGAAAGAAGAAGGAATTTTCTGAGACACTGAAAATAATCTGTTCTAACCTAAATATATGTATTTTCAAAGTTAAGACAATATAATTTAATACTATAATGATATATATATAAAGAATCTATTATTTAAAACAGACCATGGTAGCAGGGAGTTAACTGTGTGATTATGCACCTAATTTATAGGTGGCTGATGAACATGTCAATTATTGGTTGGCTAAAGCAGAATTAACGAGTGTGCACAGACTATGCTAATTTTAGTATAAGAGCCAGATGTCAACTAAAAATCTTATGACAGCAAATTTGTCAGCAAAACCACTGTTTAACACTCCTCTGACAGCAAAACCACTGTTTAACATTCCTCTAACACTATCTTTGCCATTATTTGCCTTAAAACAAACCAGCCTAGTGACCTTGTGTAAAAAAGTGAGAACAGTTAGAAAAGAAACTCTAGCTCTCCAAAATGTATTTCTTTAAAATACCACATCCATTTTTCCTCATTTCTCTAGATTTAATCTATCCTGATGAAAAGGCAACAGCTGACTGCCTTTCGGTATGAAAATGCAGATGAACCAAATCAGTTAACATATACATACCTGAAATATTTCGTTGATATCCACTGGGAGAGCAAGGCCAATGTAATCATCAGAGCTACCGTAAGTAGCGTTAGAAACCATGGAGCGAACAGAGGAGGAACGCTGAAGTGTGTTTTGGTTAATAGGACTTAATAAATCTTCTTTATCTAACGAAGCATAACTTAAAGCTTTCATGAACCTGTAACATTGAAACAAATAGATCACATTTGCAGTTACTCTCTCATTCTGGCACATTAAAAGTAAATAGGACTGCTGACACAAAGACCATCCTCATCCTCCCACTGCAGATCTCAGAGCTTGTTAGGACAAATTACAGCTATAGGCTCATTGCTTTTTCTGCCTCATATTGTCTTGCATGGTTTGGCAGTTCCTGACAATTCCTAATTCTTGATACAGGAACTCCTGCCCATCCTGCAAAACTATGTATTTTCTTCAACATTCTAGCTTTGAATATTTACAGCCCAGACACAGCCAGTAAAGATTTGGGTTTCTAAACTCCTAAATACCTAATTTTGAAATGTACCTATGCACTGAAGGTGTATTTCCTGGATATTCACAAACTCTGAGCTGAGCAGGCACATCCCTGCAAAGGCACACCTTGAGCCTACCAGTGATACACACAAGGAACATTTTTTTCCTCCCATACTCCAAAGGAGCCATCCAGTAGGGTCACCCAAGCACAGAGGAAGTATTTGCTCAACATGAATGCACAAAGAACAAACTTAAACCCACACAGTGAGTGGAGCTGACTTGACAAATAATTTGAAGAACAAAGAAAGAAACAGAATGGGAAAATCAGACAGGAGAGAAGAGGCTGGAGAACAAGACCTCAGTGGTGACCTGATGATGGAAATTTCACATCTGTCATTTTCTTTCTCATCAAACAGAAAAACCTAAAAATATTTTCTGATAACCAATCTATGTAGATGGCCTATATGCCTTGGATTAAAGCTTCCTAATAAAGGCACACCTCAGGAACACAGAATTTTTATTGCAAATTATGATACACTGGAGGATAAAGTGAACATTGGATTTTTTGACTTTTTGCCTTGGAAGAAGTTTTCTATCTACTTTTTATTTGGGCAGTAAAGTGTCCTCTTATCCCTACGGATGGGATTTATACTGGGATAAAATTAAATTATCAAAGTTTGACCATGGAAGAAATTATTATGTAATGGAAATGCACAAAATACAGCTGAGAGGATATCAACAATTTTCTTGGCAATTCTGACCAATGCTAGTGACAGTAGCAGTGGACTCACAAAAGAAGTCAAGCCATACTTCATAAAAACAGGGAAAAGACCCCAGGTTGTGCCAAAGGAGGTTTAGATTGGATATTAAGAAAAAGTTCTTTAATGAAAGGGTTGTCAAGCACTGGAAAGTATGCCCAGGGAAGTAGTTGAGTCACCATCCCTGAAGACATTTAGAAAACGTTTGGATTTGGCACTTAAGGACATGGTTAAGTGGAGCACTTGAGCGTGCTCTGTTAATAGCTGGACTCAAGGGTCTTTTCCAACCTAAATAATTGTGTAATCATGAAACCCAGAAAGTTGTCAACTGCATTAAATACTTAGTAATAAAACATTCTACAATTACTCTCAACATGAATTAAAGATAGACGTTTTAATCCCAAACATTTGTCCCTGCTTTTCCTAGAAAAACGAACAGATACAGCATTAGTAGTGATAAACAGCACCAAGTTGTCATGAAAGAATGTCTGCAGGGGATAGCTGAGAGCCACTATCAGGATCCAAAATATGTGTGTTAGTATTTCTGGCTGGTATTTAAAGACTAAAGTGGGAAATTTATCCTCAGAAAATTTATGCAAAGAAAAAGGCTTTTTAACCTTCTGAAAAAAAGAACAACTAAAAACACTGCAAAAGTAAATCTATGACTGTTAGTTGCTAGTAACACATAAATCTGTCAATAAACCGTAAATAAAACTTTTCAGAAGACTGACAGAAAAATTGATTTGGAAGTTAAAAATGACAGACTTTTTTTTTCTACTTTATTTTTAAAAAAGCAGCTAAGAACAGTTTTAGCTGGACCAGTAAATATACTCTGAATTTATTCATAAATATAATCTGAAATTTTAAGGACCATAATTTTTCAGTGGGGACATACCATAACCACCAAGAAAAACACATGTACTAGTTTGACTGCAGTCTTTCCAATCAATTATATTAGCAACTAACACAATTTGAATCTCTCTTTGAGTATGCATGTCTGCAATTATTTAACCTTCTCAGAGATACAAGCACTCCAGACATTTCAGTTCAGTGTTAAGCAGGTCAGCTCAAATCCTTGACTCTATCCACTGACACAAGAGAACATGAACAGCTAAGCACCAGGAATAGTCAGTGTGACATTGTGTGCAGGATCAAAGTCCACTGCAGCAAGGCTGCTCTGCACATCAAGGGCATGCTGCAAGGAATGGTAAAACATTACTTACAGACATTACAGAACCTGTACTACCACTGAAATGACACCCACTTGTTCCTACACTAGCAGAGGACGCCAGTGACATAGCTAGGAATGGCACTTCAATTTCCAGGATAGTGCAGTATAACTACTAAATCATCCTTAATCTAACCAACATACTCAGTCTAGCTCTAACTTATTTGAACAAAGGCATCTTTCATGGCATCTTTCCAGAATGATGCAAAAATACCAGCACAGATGGATGTTTCTTTTAATCAGGACATACACACTCAACTGGGTATGAGGAGGGCAGCTCAAGGACTGAGCATTTGCTTTTTCCACAGTAAGCAGATGACTCATGTATTGGTAGCGTCTCCCCCTTCTCTCATTCGAGAAATGATAAGGCAAGAACAGAGATAAAAAGTGCCTATTCCATCTCAACAGTAATGTGAAAATCCAATGCACTAGCTAAAAGATGATGTGAAGGAAAAATTTAGTACAAGAGCTTTTAAGGGAAGGTTTTTAAGCAGTGACTTGCAGCTGGGAACAGTGTCAATGTCAAGAGCTAGACATCTTATGTAACTATCTAATTAGTCTTCAGAACATCTAATATTGCTCAAAAATAAAGAGGTGACACTGCCATCTAAAAATAAATGCTATGAGTAAAATCTTTGATCTGCTGTAGCTAAGAAGCCAAACTGACATTCCTATCAGTGGTACCAGTATCTCATCACTGGCCTCAGTGCTGCAGTGAACACAAATATAGCATATTGGCAGGAGGCCCTGTCCTAAAACCTCCCCAAGTGACATCGAGAAAATTCTGAAATGTACCTCTGACTTCATGGGCAATTCAATGTGTTTGCAACTTAATAATGTTAGCAACTTTATTAATGTTAGCACTGCAACTGCATTTTTTATATTATAGAAGTTAAAACAGGAAGAAAACATGATAAAAGGAAACTTTTTCCTTTGTCAGCAACAGCATTATAAAAGGTTAGCACAGCTATGAAAGCTGGGCTTCTCTGACAGCCCTTACAAAGTGGACAATTATCCTTCTGTTATTCACTTAATATATCAGTACTGCTTTCAGTGAAGTTATGAATCACCTTGCAACAACTGTCCCTTTAAGGTGCAGATTAAAAAAATATTAGGAAGACACTGAAGTTGTTCTTACAGCACTGAAGTAAGAAATGAGCACAGAACAATTTCTTACCGGCTTGGGGTTAGTCGAGAATCCAGGCTGCCAGACTTCATGGTGATAGTGTCAGTAAACAGCACATCCTTTGCTGGAGATGCCAGGGCTTCTGAGTGAGACAGTGAGGGATGCATCCTCTGCTGCTGCAGGCGCTTTAGTGTAGCATAGCCAAACGCATCTCGAGAACTCGTGTAGCTGAAGTTATAGTCAGCAAGACTTTTTATCGTAGCAAGAGAAGGAGCTTTAAGAGACTGGGCTCTTCTGGGAAGGGTATGAGAAGACCCCGGTGGAACCAGGGATACAGAGTTGGATTTTGAGAGAGGCAGGTGGTTAGACTGTGGTGTTGAACAGTGACTTGGTTTAACTGTCTTTGTGCTTACGACAGTACTCAAACTTCCACAGTCAGTATCTACATTTGTAGTGTCCACACCTACAGTCTCCCTTGAAGGGCTAGAGCTCATTGAACTTATACCACTTGTAGTGGTATCTGTATTAAAACTTAAGCTACGGCTCTTGAAATGTGTTTGTGTAGTACCATCTCCAATTAGCCTTTCTTTGCTTGTGTTTTCCCGATGAATTTCATTTCCAAGACCTTTTGGTAGCTTCAGATCATTTTCTCCGATACTCTGAGTACAATCAGTATCTTCCACATGTTTGCTTCCAACAAAAGAAGTTTCTAATCGTAAAGTCTGGATTTTTGGAACTCTGAAAACAGGGTTCAATTCTTCCCCAGCAGGAAAGTCTATGCTACCACTAGGTTCTGTTACTGTACGATTTCGCCTCAGAAATTTACTGTCAGATGATGTCAGCTTTCCTCCTTTTGGATCACTGCTACTTCTATGTTTTTTATTAGGTAGAGTAAGAGAGTTTAGAATGCGATTTTTCACAAGTCTACTAGAAGAAAAAAAAGGAAAGGGACTACGGTCTTTGTCCTTTGAAGGTCCAGGTCTGTCATAAAATATTTGTTCTGCATCTTCAGTAATATCTAGGAAGAAAGTACTGGTGGAAGTACTACCAAAACGGTCATCCTCCATGATGAACATGCCTGAAATTATACAAGACTTTGTCACAAAAGTAGGCATTTCTTCCAAGTCTACAAACTATGTTGCAAAATAGGAAGCCATTCTATAGAAGCACAAGTGAGAGTCTCTGCAATTTACTGGAACGTTAATTCCTCTTTTTTTTCTGCAGAACCTCATGCAAATTAGCTATTTTGAGGAGTAACTGACCTGAAGATTTCCCTGCTTCAAAAGAAAAGCCGCACTGTCTTATTTCAGTGCAAACATCCATCTACTAGGATTACAACCTAAGAACTCCTTTAATGATACCTAAATACGGCATATTTCTTAATTTAAATTCCAAGTATCCATAGAAAAAATAAAATGCATTAGGTACTTGAAATACACAATAATTTAAATACAGCAAAATTCTGTGTGTGTGTGTGTGTGTATACCCAGAGAATATAAACACTTATTTCTTTGAGGGCAACCAAGTGTATCTTTGTATCTAAGCACTGGGGTTTCTGTAGCATGTTACAGCAAACTGCCATGACTCAAAAATAACTAACTTACCCTCATGTGAAAATTTTTCTTCTACATCAAGTATTAAGCTAAGACACTCTTTTACCCCCTCTGACTCGTTTGCATCTCTCTGAATGGACATAAATGTCCTATTGCTTGTACTGTTTTACTGCAAGACCACCTTTACACCATTGGTCTGTACCTCATCCTACCAAAAGGTTGATGAGAACACCAAAATGCTGTTTGTGGTGGGCTGGGCTCTTCGCAGGTATTTTTTGTTTGCTTGTTCATTTTTCTCCTGTTTTCTTGTTTTGGTGTTCTGGTTACTTACTTGATGGAGCAGATTCACTTTCACTGTTGTGCCTTGAACTGGTAGACTCAGAGTTCAAGCTAAGAGTGCTTGGTATAGAAGAAAGTTCATTGCAGAGCTGCTCCATGTCATCAGGGACCACTGGCCAAGGCTGTCTACGACTGTGTCTCACTGCATCCCAGTTATGATGCTTCAAAATGTCACATCCTTGTTTAGTTTTGGCTATTAGACCAAGCACGTAGACACAGGTTCTGTATTTAATGTATATATAGAAAAAAAAAGAGCAACAATAATAGCACCTAATTAAACTAAACTTACTTGACATTTGAAAGGAAACAACTTCAAAGCAATTCAGGAGAAACTTCACGAAACTGAGAAACAGCATACTGTTAATTTTAATTTGCAAATCAATTCAAGCTCAGGAAATTCAATAATATATCAGAGAACAAGATACTATTAAAAAATAAAAATTACCACAACGGCCTGATTACATAAAGTAGAAAACTACCTTTTGAAAAAAAGGCCCAACATTTATACAGTAGCAATGTTAGACAAAATGCCATCTATTTATGCTTTTAAATATTTAAAAAATGTATTGAATAAAAAAGATGGAATAATAAATTCTCAGAGAGATATAAACAGCAAGTATTTTGTTTTACAGAACAGGAGAAAAGTAGTATCTACCTTTTTTCATAGATTTGTTTACTTCATGTTCTTTCAGATTTCCTACACAATTCTGCAGTTGCATAGAACTGAGACTGATACTCAAAGACCGGTGACTTTAACAGCTGGTTTCCAATAAGGTACAAATCTGTACTCATGTAAATCAGGTAAAGTTATCTGAAAACTGATCACAACTACCATCTGAAAATTTTACGTATATATCAGACACACATACCCTCTAACAGACAGAACCTCACAATGTTGAGCAAGTGCCATTATATCAGGAATTACATTCTCCTCTTGAAGCAAGTTAAGACCCCAATTCGATGATCCGATATTGCCCTGGAATGAAATTTTTCAAGTAAGTTTTGATCTCAATATGATCTGCAGCACGATCTATCAATGTAAAGCTTTGACAATTTTGTTTGTTGGTAGTAGAGTTTAAAGCCCATCTTCCCAAAGCAGTTGAAAGACCCGAGTACCCTTTCTGGCATTTCCTAGCTGTGCTAATAAAAAAGGACTCAGCACACCTTGTATAATACCTAAAGCTGCTCAAAGTTAGAACTAATATGTATTTATAAGTTCTACTATAGCCTGCAGCATGATCTTGGTTTATTCATTTTACATTCCTCTTACACAGGCATCTGGTTACATATCTACAGTATCTTCCCCTAACAGTCCCCTTGGACAAGTGTTCCGAAATTAACTTTGGGGAAGGCAAGAAGCACATTTAGGAGTGTAGCTTGGATATACACCAACACTAGGTTTTTGCCTGTCCCAAGTACCAGGGCATCATGACCACATGGATTAACACTGGCAGCCAACTTCCTTGCAGAAACATTAGGGACTACCACAGCAAATACATTAAACTCAGACCATGGCAACTTTTAACTTGTAACTATCAATTCCATACTAACACTCATATGGCAATGTGTTATTCTTATTTGTTAAAAAGAAAAAACGACAAAGTGATTATTAAAAACCTCAGAATGAAACAGTTGCAGTGAACCATCTTCAACTGAAAGTATCATTATGGAACAAAATGCTAACTTGAAAAAAATCACATTTTTTGAAAAAAAAAATCCTTATTTTTTTAGTTTTATAGAACTTTGCTTAGTTATTTAAGAATCAACAGTTATAACGGAACTAAACAACTGCAAAACTCAGTAAATATATTACTAACCAAGGCCCAAAGGGCTGCCTTCAGCTGCTTAATTCCTTCCCACTTATCCAGCATTGGAGAACGAACAGTGTAACTTAGATCTGTAACAATACTCTGAAGGAGAAAAACAGAAGAAGAAAAAACTAAGTTGAAAATTAATACGAGACTTCAGCCAAACAGGCTCTCTTGCATTTATAGTAGAAGTTAAAGCAATAATTCAAATCATGCACTCTAGGAAGAACAGTGGTAATTCTGTAATCATAACCATAAATTAACAGCAGTAATAATGCAAAAGAAAGTTTCAATGAAATAGCAGATTCCATTAAGTTATTTCAAATATTAAAAGGATGACAGATTAGTCAAACTAACACACTGCAACATATACACTTTCTCTTGAACTTTTCGAAGAGCATTGTCAATTCAATAAATCATTTTGCCAACCCACATCAAAAGTGAATTTAAGCAATTATGGCTTAGGGCTTGTTTTCTTAGATTTTCAAAATATTAGAAATATTTTATTCCCTCATCTCCCAATTTCTGTATGCTTAAAAAGAAAAGGCATAGTTTAACCACAAGCATAATTGTCAATATACAGTCCACAGGGACTAACAATTTTTTCTTTTTATGAATTGGCTCTCCATGCTAAGATTTTGCTAGTCATTTTAAGAAAAATGTTGCAAGGTATTTTGGTGATATTTCAGTGTCAGGAAGGCATTTTACATGAGATTAGATGGCAAAGACTGCCTTCACAACTTAAGACTCAAAATCAACTTCTTCTACAACGCCTATTTAAATGCCATCTCTTTTAAAACCTTTTTTCAAAACGTTTATAATGATCTTTAAAATATTTCAAGTTATAAATTATTATTATCCTCACCTGAGACTCCAATAAATGGCAGCCTGTTTTATGGTGCACCAGTTGGCCATAAAGGTGAACTGGCAGGTAGACATGTGGTCGCTGTAATCTGGGAGAAAGAGAAACATACATAGGTTTCCCAGCACTTCAAATATCTTATTTTAAAATAAATTACACTGCAATGTAATACAATGGCTTACCCGTGATTTTTTTCAAATGGAGAATTCTTCTGAGGAATTTAGAAAGTAATAAACTGTTTCAATTGGAAAGGACAATCATCTAATCCAACTGCCAAACCACTTCAGGGCTGACTGGAAGTTAAAGCCTTTTGTTAAGGACACTGTCCAAATGCTTCTTCAACACTGAAAGACTTGGGGCATCAACCACCTCTCCAGGATGCCTGTTCTCCTATGTGACCACCTACAACCCTTGTGGTAAGGAAATACTTCTTGGTATCCAGTCTGAACCTCTCCTGCTTCAGCTCTGAACCATTCCCATGCATCCTGCCCCTGCATGCCAGGGAGAAGAGCTCAGCACCTCCCTGTGCCCTTCCCCTCCTCAGGAAGCTGTGGAGAGCAGTGAGGTCACACCTCAGCCTCCTTTTCTTCAAAGTGGACAAGCCCAAAGACTTCAGCTGCTCCTCACTGGAGGTTCCAGCTCTGATTCCCTCCTCAGGATGCACGGAAGGACCCTCCCATCCTTCTCCGCCGGCAGGGCCCAGCAGGCCCCAGGCGAGGCCCATCCCCTCCCTGGGCCGTCTGTGCCCTGCTCGGTGCTCTGGGATGGGCTTTGGCTGTGCCCTGCTCGGTGCTCTGGGAGGGGCTTTGGCTGTGCCCTGCTCTGTGCTCTGGGATGGGCTTTGGCTGTGCCCTGCTCCGTGCTCTGGGATGGGCTTTGGCTGTGCCCTGCTCCGTGCTCTGGGATGGGCTTTGGCTGTGCCCTGCTCCGTGCTCTGGGATGGGCTTTGGCTGTGCCCTGCTCGGTGCTCTGGGATGGGCTTTGGCTGTGCCCTGCTCGGTGCTCTGGGAGGGGCTTTGGCTGTGCCCTGCTCGGTGCTCTGGGATGGGCTTTGGCTGTGCCCTGCTCCGTGCTCTGGGATGGGCTTTGGCTGTGCCCTGCTCCGTGCTCTGGGATGGGCTTTGGCTGTGCCCTGCTCCGTGCTCTGGGATGGGCTTTGGCTGTGCCCTGCTCGGTGCTCTGGGATGGGCTTTGGCTGTGCCCTGCTCGGTGCTCTGGGATGGGCTTTGGCTGTGCCCTGCTCCGTGCTCTGGGATGGGCTTTGGCTGTGCCCTGCTCAGTGCTCTGGGATGGGCTTTGGCTGTGCCCTGCTCCGTGCTCTGGGATGGGCTTTGGCTGTGCCCTGCTCGGTGCTCTGGGATGGGCTTTGTCCTCGGGGCTGCCCGGGCACTGCTGACCCACCCTGAGCCACCCCTCTCCTACTTCACCCCTGTGCCCGGTGTCACTCCTTCCCAGGTGCACAATCCACCATTTGGACTTGACAAATTTCACCCCATTTAAGATTGCTCAGTGCTCCAATCTATCTAGATCCCTCTGCAAGGCCTCTTGTACCTCAAGAGAATCCACAGCACCTCCCAGTCTGGATCATCAGCAAAACCTGCTACTGGTGCACTCACCTCCAGCACTGATAGAGAACTGGCCCTGGAATGGAGCCCTGAGGAACACCACTGGTGTGACCAGTCACCAACCAGATGTTGCCCCATCACTACAACACTTTGGGCTCAGTCCCTTAGCCAGTTCTTCAGCCACCACTCCATGAACCTGCTCATCCCACAGCTAGAAAAATTGTCCAGAAGGACGTTGTGGAGGACAGCATCAAAAATCTGGCCAAGATCCAGGAAAACAACATCTACCACCTTCCCTTCACCCTACTGGGTGACCTTACCACGGAAGGCTAACAACTTAGTTTAAGAAAACTTTCCCTTTGTGAACCCATGCTAACTGTTCCTGATGACTGCATTGTTTTTCAAATGCCTTTCAACAATACCCAGTATAATCTTCTACATAATTTTCCCAAAAAATGAAGTTAGACTAATAGGTCTGTACCTCTCTGGATCTTCTCTTATGTGCTTCTTGCAAACTGGAATAAACTGGCTAGATTCCAGTCAGCAGGGACTTCCCTAGACTCACAAGACTTTTGGCAGATGATAAGAGATGGGTCCTGACACATCTGCTAGCTCCTTTAGTACTGGTGGGCTAGTACTGATGAGGCTAGTCCCTCAGCCTGGTGGGAACCAGGCCCCATGACCTGGTGAACATTCAGCTGACACAGATGGTCCCTTACAATGTTAGCGTCCACATATGGAAAGATACAGTTTCCACATCTGTGGACCTCTCGCTCAGAGAACCAGGCAGCCCAAGGTCTATCAATATTGCTGAAGACTCTGGCAAAAAACCCCACAACATTTTAATTCATCTCTTGTTTTCTCTTCATCTCTGTAAGTCAGGTGACCATCTTCAGCAAGAATTGATGCAGTGTTTTCTTCACACCTCCTCTTTCCTGTTGTGTCACACAACATACTCAGGTTCAGTCCTGAATGAGCTTTGGCCTTTTGTGTCTTCTTTCTGCTTACGTGAACCATGGTTTTGTAGTCCTTCCTGTGAAGGGTGATCTTCTCGAGATTGTTTATTTCCTTTTCCTCTAGAGCTCCATGAAGAGTTCCCTGTTCAGCCAAGGTGGTCTTCTGCCCTGCTTGCTTGACTTACAACACATGGGATTGCCTACCCCTGTGCTTCTAAAAGATAGCTCCTAAAGATAGACCACCATTTCTGGACTCCTGGGCCTCAAAAATGTACTCTACTAAAGCAGCTCCCCAAGTTAGCTCCCCTGAAGCCCCGAGTAGCAACTCTGCTGTGCTTTTTTCTCATTACATTGAAAATTTTAAACTTAACCATGCCATGATCACTGTGGCCTAGAGAACCTCCCCTCCATCACATCTCCCACAAGCCCTACATTCACAAACAGCAAGTTGAGGAGGGCATCTTTCCTAGTTGGCTCACTGAGTATCTCTCCTACAGACTTTCCCCTACAGAATTTCCAAGGCTGCTTGTCATTGCATTACATTATCCGCAGTTGATGCCTAGAAGTTGAAATCTTCCACAGGAAGCCCATAAGAACAAGAGCTACTGATCCAGAAGTTTCTCCTACTTGTCTATACAATGACTCATCAGTACTAACATCCTGGCTGAGCAATCAGTAGCAGACACCCACTACATCACTTCCTTTGTTTTCCATCCCCTTAATCCTCACCCAGAGGTTCTCAACCACATCACCACCAACTGTAAGGGCTGTATAATCAAACCTCTTCCTTATATATTTATCTGCCCATCCCTGCTGAAAAGCCTGTAGCCCTCCATTCCAGCACTCCAGCCATGGCACTCAATCCACCAAGTCTTAATAAAATGAATTGTAAAAGCTCTAAAACTAATTATATAGAAGCTCTGAAATAAATTACATTAAAACTCTGGGAGTTAAGCAATGCATCCAGTTCATCCTGTGTGTTTCTTACACTGTGCTGATGTACTGCTCCAGAAGCATAATAAACTGAAATCCTGTTGGTAGCCCTTTCCCTCATACATTTCAGTTTACAGCTCTCCAGATCAGTTCCCCTAGCTTGTGCCCCAGAATGCATTTTCCTAAATTTACCTTTGGTTGCTCCGACGAACATAGTTATCCCCATCAACAGGTTTGCGGTATGTTGTAAGTGCTTCATTAAGTTGTTCTTCAATCAGTTCAACGTATTTTAGGTTATATTCCTGTAAGAAAACAGACGAGGGTTGACACAGTACATTTAGTGGTTTATGGTGTTATAGCATGAGACTTTATAAGGAAGAAATAATTGAGGAAGGTTGCTTAAGAAAGACTGAATTTTTTTATGATCTGAAGGTAGGGCTCAAGAAAATGAATGCACTTCACACATAGGAGTTTGTGAGTCAACAATTAATTTCATAATTATTTTAGGGAATTTGTTAAAAAAAGGAAGAAAGAAATACTTCATATCTGACACACTCAATTTCAATAGATCATCATGCATTTCAGTACTCCCTGAGAAGCAACACTTAAACCACTAAGAAAGTTGCCAACAGGAATGAGACAAATGTCTTATAATCAATTACAAAACCAAAATAACATATGAAGAGTTTAATTGAAGTTATGACAATAATGAATTTTTCTTAATGGTCTTGTGTTCCTTTTTACTTCCTAACAGCATCAACCAATTCTGTCTTCATGACCTCTAGGTTTAACTTTAATTACCAGAGGTAACAGGTATCTTGAAAAGCAGCATTACTTTGCATACTTCTCTAGATAACGACCTTCCATAAAAACCTATTTTAGAAGGTCACTACACTCCTGAAAAATTTGCTGAAATACCAAAATTTTATAAAGGTCTTGGTAAATCAAAATCACATTTGAAGAGAAGCTATGGAACTCTAAGTCTCTGTCAACCTTTACCAGCAAAAATGCTATATCACTGATGCAATAAATGTATTTGCACAAGCTTTACAAGTACATTAAAATGCAATAATTTTTAAGAATCTCTGTTCTAAATCTGCATATTTACACCATTCCTCCTAATATTCAGCAAACATTTTCTTCTTAGCATTACCTTTTGCCACTTTTCCATCTGTTTTGTTACATAACCTCTTTCATTTAGATAAGAAAACCCCTTTGGGATGGACAGAAATCTATTAAAAAAAAAAAATCAGACAGTTAACATTGCAATTTAAACAACTCCCAGAATCTGAATTTGTTTCCACAATGTGAAGTCAAACAGCATATTCAACATTTACCTTAGGAGTAGAAGCAAACCCTTGTCTCCAAGATGAGAAAGAGCTGGTTTCATTTGGATAAGAGCATGAAGATTGGCCTAAAATAATTAAGAACACAAAGAGTATTTGAGCACTATTATAATTCCAAAAATGATTTGCAATAATTACAACACTCTGCCTGCAATGAAACAGCAAGTTTTTCACAAGTGTCAAATGCTAACTTAACCCTAGTATGATCAATTTTAGATATCTTCTGTCATAAAATATAAATTACTTCACAAGAAGTATAATGAATAAAGTAAGTTGCAATTCATATTTAAATACAGGCATAATCCAGAAGTCAATGTTTTCTTGTAAGTAATATTGCAGTAGTTTCATCCAAGGGGTCTTATTATAAACTATTTAAAGTCCATCAATGACAATTCAAAAAGGAAATCATCAGTACCTTCTTGCCTATTTGTACTTTGCTACTAGGGAAGGGAGTGGGGAAGAGCTTAAGAGCAGCATATCAAAAAGAGGTTAAAAAGAGAAGGGATGCTCACCTTGTCTTCACACGCCTCATCTAGAATATCAAGTGCCTCAGAAGAAATAGTTTTATTTTTATCATGTAACTGGGTCACCAGTAACTCAATCCCCCAGTTGCTGAAGAACTCTACATTAGCTCTCAGCAACACTCTTAAGTGTTTTGTGGCGTATAACCTGCAGCTCTGTAAAGTAAGGAAAATGTTTTCTTGAATGGAAGAAAAATAACTAACACAGTTCATGATTTATAACTTCTAAAAATACTTTTCAACTACTGCATTTTGCAGCAAGCAACTGTGATGCACACTTTATCTACTAAAATTACAGTTTTTTAGAGAGCTATTTATATCTCAACAAATGGGAAAACTGAATCTAAGATCACAAGTAAATTGGTCATCATAAATGTCCAATCCTACATCTTTTATTATTGTATTATTATGTCTTTTGAAGAGAATTTAGAAGCAAGTAAAAAAAAATATAGTAGTAGGGAGCTTTGTCTTTCAATGTGTCATTCCTTCAACCTCAAGTATCTTCATTACTTTCAGACTCCACTCTATCCATAAGAATCATCACATCTTTGACAGTGTTAGAGAAATAGTCTCAATGTATGTCCTCCTCTTCCAAAATACAGTGAGGCATTTAAAGCTAGCACCTACATTCTCCTCTCTTTTATCTATTCTGGAAAATATTCTGTCTGTTCAGAGAACAGAAACAACTTCATTTGAAGTAATGAACATTCTTTCCTATTTGCATTTCAAATTCTTGTCATCTATCTCCCTGACATCAGTGATTGCTTGTCTAACAACGTTACCTTAAAAGTCAGGAGTTTCCTCTCCCAAATCCATGTAATTATATTTTTTATCCTTATCCACCTTCTTTGATTCAGAAGAACACATCCCAATGCCTATTTTTGAACCAACCTCTCATTCCAGCATCTATAGTATCTACTCCGTTCCAACACAGAGTAACCTCAACCATTATCAGAACAGTGTCTACTAGAAGGCTAACATGCTTAGTGCTGCTAGAAATACAGATTTCTGTTTGTGATATCAATGCCTTCACAATTTATTAAAGATGTCACTGACCCAAACAATCACACTGCACTTAGTTATACATATCAAGACTTTAGACCCCAGGTTCTATTTGAAGGACTTAATTTCTTGAGCAAAAATACAATACAGGGTATGATGTTCACAACATATTTAAAAGCTACACTTGTAGGATGTTCATTTCTGTGAATACAAAACTAAGAACCCTTTTCATATATAACAGCTTAAAAATAAAGTCATACACCTTAAATAATAAAATAAATGTGTAGAGGGCAGTAACAAAGGACTGTAAGTTGAACTGAACTTACATCAGTAGCTGCTGTCAGGATTTTAGAAAGGATGACTCTTGCCAATCCATCTCTGCTATAATCCAGACTAGAAACAGTCAGTTTTAACAAGTGATCTTGGTTCTTCAAAGAACAAAGATTAAGAAGACTGGAGGCATGCAAGGGGAGGAGGAAGAAAATAAAATTAGTATTTGAACCCACTTGAACCATCAATAATTTAAACTTGAGTATTTTGAATTATACTTTTATTACTATAAATGCGATATACAAAGTATGTTCTTGTATGAAACTGAGTAACTTTAAATTGTTATAACTATAAAGTCAAATAGGGATGAAATAATGCACTGAATTGCAAGGGGAAAACCTCTAACCAACATCTTTTATAATTGCCCTGTAAAAATTTTGTCAGCATTATTAGTGATTATCAGTTTAAAAACAAATGCTCAGGAAGCTCTGTGAACAATTCTTCATTTTAAAACATTGTGTATAAAGTTTGCCATCAAGTTAGTCTTATTAACCGTCTAGATTTTATTGTATATTACGTTTTCTAAAGCCAGTGAAAAGCTTGCTTTCTAAAAATCAACAAAATCAACAATAAAAGATAAAAAGGAGTACATTAAAACACTTGCATTTTAACTTCAAGTTTATTATATGTTGATAAACTAGTACTAGTCACCAGTCAATTTATTCCCAAAGGAACCTAAGTTTGTCTGTACCTCAACAAAATTTTGAGCTGCAAAACTCCACTCAAATATACTGGAGTGAAATTTTAAGTGCAACATACATCAGCATTTCACAAACAGTATGGTACTTTCCATTTTTTCACGGTTTGTGTGTTTTTAGTTTAGTTAATTTTTCTATTTCCCCACACTGAGTCTTTCAGTACCCTATAATCCTTCCTGATACGCATCACTGTCACACAGGTGTGAATAGGAAAAAGTAAATTGTCTGTCACCTCTGTCTGCTTAGTAATGACAGATTAGAAGACTTTAGAAAAAAAATGGGGACCTCTACTTGTAACTTCACCAAAATAACCTGAAGTTTTCAGCTTTTCAGATGGTGGCCCTCACACAGTTTAGAATTTGAATAACTACTACACTGCAAGTACAACTCAAACCAAATAAAAGCACTCACCACTGAAAAACATTGCATTTTTCAAGCATTTTCACTCCATGAGGGTGACAAGATAAAGTACCAAAAAACAGGAAGTAGTGCTGGCTAAGGGTATTTAGTAACCCATTATTCTGAAGACTACGTTCAGGCTTCATGCCTGATGAAGAGTTGAGCCAAAGTACAATATCTTTAACCAATTCCTCCAGGTAACCTTGTCCATCCTAGCAAAATAAAGAGGAATAGCATCTGTTAGTAATAGAAATGTGTTTCTTCTTCACCAAAACTCACTACTTTAAATTTCTTAAAATGTACAAACACAATACAGAAATGCAGGCTGGAAAACAATTCAGACTAAAGAATAAGTTTCAAGGCAAATAAAAGGAGCTAAGAATGGAGATATCTTAGGATTAATTCTCTTTCTAGGAAAGGGGCAAAGTATTATTCAGTGATATTTTCCTCTGACCTGAGGCATAAAAGTCTTTAGCACAAAAGAAGGAGTTCAAAAAGGAAAGTTATACACACCATCAATAATAAAAAAAAATTCCTTCAAACTCTAAGTTGAATTTAACAAAGCTGTATTTAATAAAACTTCTACATAAACATGGTCATCTTTCTCAATATTTCACATTGTATTTCTTAATTACACTGATGATTTTAGATTTAACACCCAAAATCTCAGAAGTCTTTACCAAAAACTAAGGTTGCAGATGGCATTCAACAAGACTACTCATTCTACTTCTAGTCTTATAGCTGAAAATTTCTTACCTCCTCTGATTCAAGAAGAAATTCAGTAAATTGACAACCCACAACAGTGAGCTGCTTCGCCTTGGCATAGTCCAGATCCAGGTTAGCATAGAGTTTACTGCTAGGCTTGTAAAAATACAGCAATCTCCTTACAAACCTATAGAAAGTAGAATAGAATTGGCTATTTTTCAGTATGACAAGGAGACAGTCTCACAGTACAAAATGATGCTAGAAAAAACAGGTTGTACTTGGTTTCTTGGCAGTAAGTCTTAAAAATTTATCAAAAGAGTAGCAGGTAACAGAAGTGACTCTAACCAGACAATTTCAGAGATGCTGCTGTACTGGGCATTACAAGGGGTTTTCTATACCATGGCCTAATATAAGCAAAGGAACTTAAAACTATATGCTCTCAGAAGCTGTATCTTCCTTCTCATTCTCATAATTTATTCTGCTGTAATTTATCCTGTGGCAAGTTTCAAAGACAGTATTATCTAGACTAACAAACAGCTTAAAAAAGAAACTTGTGACCTGAGCTTTCTTCAGCTATTATAGTTACTGCTACTGGATCTGTAAAACACATTTTCATGTTCTGACAGGAAAAAACCTCATTTATTCAGCAACACTATTTCCAGACACCTGACTTAACCATTTCTGAAGCATAACACACTGCTAACACACTCTCAGACTTTTAAAAATACAGTAAGCAATGTAGCTTGAGTTTTGCATCACAGGAATAAGTCTCCAGCAGAGATCCTCCTCTCACAAATTCTTCAAAATATAAATTTGTGCTTTAAAATAACACAAAATGTTCCATCAGAAGGCAGATATGTCAGATATTAAAAAACTTAATTACAAAACTGTACTCATATTTGAAAAAGCCAGAGTAGTCCACTACACCTAACTCCAAACACAGGACCAATTACAAAGGAAATCTGAGGACTTAAGTTTCGTAAAATAAAAAGCATTTTATCCTGGGTTACCAGCAATAAATATATATTGACACACAAATTTATACACATATGTATCTATGTGTATATTTAAGCGCATATGTGTGCTCATCAACATGGATGCATTCAGTTTTGGTGCCCCTGGGCCCCTCAGTACATACAGCAAGGACACTGAGGTGCTGGAACAAGTCCAGGACAAAAGAACTGGGGCAGGGTCTGGGGCACAAGTCCTGTGAGGAGCAGCTGAGGGAGCTGGGGCTGTTTAACCTGGAGAAAAGGAGGCTCAGGGGAGACCTTCGTGCTCTTTACAACTCCATCACAAGAGGTTGCACCCAGGCAGAGGTGGTCTCTCCTCCCAGGTGACAAGTGGCAGAATGAGAGAAAAAGGCCTTTGGTTGCCCCAAAGAAGTTTTGATTGGATATTAGGAAAAATTTCTGGACTAAATGAGAGGTCAGGCATTTGAACTGCCCAGGGAATTGTTGGTGTCACCATTTCCAGCGGGATTTAAAGGACACATAGACATGGCACTTAAAAACTTTAGCAGTGACTTTAGCAATTGGACTCAATGATCTTTGAGGTCTTTTTCATGATTCTGTGATCCTGTATGTATACATACACTGCATGAAATGTATCTCTCTGAATTGAAGGAATCTTTAAAAAAATTACTGGAATTTCATTTTTACAACTGTAAGATCATCACAACAACACTAACATTAAAAAAAGATCAATTTATAGAAGGAGAAATAAATGTAATTTACACTTGAAAAGCAAAGCAGCAGAATTTTTTTTATCATCGGCAGTGAAACAAAAGAGATTTGGGGCTTAGTTACTTATAATTAAACAGGAGAAACAGCATTTTAAAGCCATTAAGCTCCCAATTCTGCAGAAATGATCAATGAACTACAGAAGCTTTACACCAATTCAATTCTAGATTTTCCCAATTTATTTGGAGTTAAATCACTGAGGCACTGAACAATGCTTGAGCAATTTTGCAGCACAAAACCATGGAACAGGAACACTGTCCCACATAGGGAGGTTGAGGAGTGTGTGTTGGTGTCATAGTCAGAACTGCAGACACTGCTTTAGAGAACCGATGTTATAAACTACCAGATTTGGAAAATAATCCTTTACCCTGAAGTACAGACTGGCAATTAACATTTCAGGAAAACCCAGAAAAAATGCAAATGTAAAATTAAATCACGGTTATGATAACAATGGGACTACTGTTTATGCTGTAAATATACCATAAAAGTACCCCAACTACTTTTTGGTAAAAATTTAAAGCAGAGCCACAGGAGCCTTTCAGCATATATTCTATCTTTTGGGTTTTCCCCCAGTTCAGGAAGTAGCTTTTTCATGCCCACAAGTACTGACCTATTCTTCAAAATAATGTAATCTATTTCTGAAACACATGCTAAAAGGCACATCCAAGAACTAATTAGTAACACTATGACCACACAGGCACAGAAGTAATAAACATGTCTTACTGACAACAGACATGAAAGGAACCAGAGCTGTACTGGAGGTTTTTTGTTTGTTTGGTCGTTTTTTTTTCCAAATCACACATGTTTCTCCTGCTATTAAAAGCAACTAGAAATAATTTCCTCTTGGATATTGATGAAAGCTGTAGTTAAAAACCCATACAACTATGGACTTAACTCTGTAAAATTTTTCCAAGCTCTGACATAAAAACACTTCTGACTGATATATCAAGCAGTAACATTTCTAAGGTTTAAAGTTAAATATAGTATTTGCAGAAGTGGTATGATTCCTGGGACTAAATATATAAAGCACCTGCGCATAGAAAAGAAGCTTAAACACATGTTTATTTAAAGCCAATATTGCAACTTAATTATCCAAATTTACACCTTAACTTCTTATCTATAGATTAGCTTTTAGAAACGTGATACATCTAGGGAATATTCTACTGCAGTACTAAAGGACAGTTTTCCAAATTTCTTTCTTCAAAGGAAGTCTACATAATTTTTACATACCTATGCAGCTGTTCATCTTTGTAGTTCCTTAAATTTATATTTGGCCACTAGAAAAAACAGCAAATATAGCATTATATGAAACTTGTACATCAGTCCTTGATTAGTCAGTAAAATTCACTTACTTCTATCAGTTGTATTTACTTAATAATCAGAAACTTTTCTTGCACCTAATGTTATGTCTTAAAAAAAGACATTATTTTATTGAAAAGCCCACACTGCCTGCTTCAAGAATTGTTCAATTTTTCTCTTGAGAAGGACAGGGAATATTGGCCACATACTATATGTACAAGACCACAGTTGTAATGAAAACAAAAAAAGTATGAGAAGCTGATGAAAAATAAACAATTTTGCTTAGTTTCTTTTCTGCAAATAACAAAAAATTTGATATGCATAACAGGGAAATAATTTTTAGCTACTGTTTTGAATATTCATCAGATTGGCTTAAAAGTAATCATTATTCTGTTACAGATCACTTAAAAATGCTGCTTATTAAAATGGTATTTAAACTCCCTTGTTGATGCTTTCTCAGATACATTAAGAAGGAGCACATGAGAAATAATATTCTCTTTAGGATCTATTCTTTCTTCCCATTACATTTTCCTCTGTCTATACAACCATCTGTTGTCTCTATGGTTTCAGATTTCTTTCTGTTGCTACTAGTGAGTATCTTCTTGTCAGGAATGGCAAAAAAGTGAATCAAACATTCTTCTTTCCTATCTATGCAGCACTGTTCTACATTTCCAGTTGGTATTCCAGTATTAAGACACACACAGCACTAGTTAATGATTAGTAAAATTGATCACACCAAGTAATAGTGCCAGATACAGATGAGGCTGACACTTTTGCTGCTCTTTTAGCAGCTTGGACAACAAGCTGAGCAAGTGAAAAAGGTAGTAAGGCACCACCTGAACTGCACACAATGAGGTGGTTAGAGAGCTGATGCTCCACAGATACAAGGCTGCAACAGACAAGGGGGAGGTGAGCAGCCAAATGAGGTAACAAATTTCAGACACTGGAATCTGGATCCTGCTCATTAGGGGACTAAAGACAACCACTCTGGTAACATTATCTCAGTTTATGCTGGTGTTACACGGAACAGAAATGGTTAGAAGTAAGCCAGAAAACATACACACTTCTCACTCAGAAAGGAGTCCCCAGTTTTCAGACATTAGGAACTTTTTGACATGACACTAGAAAATACATTGCTGGGGAGGTTTGAGATGGCAGAGAAACTGGCTGTTTGACATAAATTTCAGTTTAAAATACCCCAAAACACAGAGGTCAACTACATAAAGCTTCCACTGTTAAAATACTACACATACTAACAGTGAGATTCTGAAAAACAGTTTTCTGGTAATATCTTTAATAGGGAATCAAAGGTAAAAGTAACTATGACTAATAATAGTTATATAGTAACCCAGTAAATGGTATAATGGCAGTAAAAAAGTCTTTAAACAGTGAAATCTGGTGGAGCAAAGCTACTGTCATATACATATTCAGGTCTTTATACCAGACAGATTCTTGCTCTTTCAACTTTATCGGTCCCTGAAAAAAAGGCACAGAAATATTTAGTTTCTTTTCTTTTTCTCAAAAAAACAACATAGTCTTGATTATGACTGTCACCATTAAGCCTTTTTTGTACTTTGACCATCTTTGTAACAACACAGTAAAGAAGACAGTAAGAGAATGCTATTCAGCTCAAGGATGGCTTTGATGCACAGAATGACATTTTGGAATAATTTTGGTTTGAAATATTAAGTATTTAGAAAGTTTTCTTAGTCAAGCAAAGTATATTTTCTGCTTACAAAAAGAGGTAGTATCTTAAAATCTGTGCATTAAATATATTTAAGATATATAAATATATTTAAAACAATGCCCATCACCCCATTAGTTATTTCCTTTATATTGTAAAAAGAAATTAATTCTGTAATGAAATCATTGCTATAGAAGTATTTGCATTAGTTCAAAACATTTAATGAAGTTTTCATACATGGTTCAGTCTAAGCATCTGAAGTTTGATCTAGAACCCACCTCTTACTAAAACCTTCAGCTCACATTATTTTAAAAAAATCTGCTATGAATCTTAACATAGCAGTACCCCTCTGCAGTCTGAGGTATTAGCAGCTTTAAAGACAATATACTAATTCTATAAAGTTGATTTCTATACAAATAAAAACATAAAACATTTAATACATGCTTCTTAGGAAACTGTGAATTTAACTATCATGCGTTTTTTAATGTAGTTTAAGGGTTGCATATAAAGAGACTACAGCAGCACTGACTAAACCCTGGAGATTCTAATTTCCTGAAATAAAACCAATTATTAGATGTATTCTGGAATGAATATTAGAAAGCCAAAGCTCACAAGTGAAAAAGACTTTTTCTCCAACATATTATCATGGCCTTTGTAAGCTCACCTTGAGTATGGTCCCTATTAAATTCCAATTCCAGTCGAGGTTCTCTTTGTGATTGAGCACTTGGCTGTCTCGAAGATTCATGATGAGTGCTTCTTCGGTATCCTGGAATACAGACATGAAACAACAGGTTTCCCTGCATCATCTTTTTCAGTCTTGCCACATGAACTACTTACTGCTCATGTAAAAATCATTAAAGTGCTGTGTTTTACAGTAAATTGTATGGTTATAGTACTGTGTTAAGGATCTAAATGTACTGCATTAAGGATCACAACTGGTCGCAAAAAGTATTAAAAGTTATTGGAATTTCATTCCTTAATTTACAGAAATGCAATTTAGTATCCATAAGTGTCTGCAAGACAAATGAGATAAAAAAATACTACATAGAATCACACAAATGATTCTGAATTACACTGAGTGAAGCTTGAGGGGTAGGATACAAGTCTCCCCAACACAGGGTCAAATTCAGGTTTGAAAAATGAATTATCATAATACCTTTAAAATAAAGATGTCTTTCTGCACACGGTACTGATCCCTTTTCTGGTGTGTTGAGATGGCTTTCTGAATAATATGATCTAAATGGAGGCTGTAAGGTTTAGGGCCTCTTTTCTTCATCTCGTGAAAACGTTTTAAGCAGTTGAGTGCTGCACTTGCCCGCCTATTAGAAAAAAGAAATACTATAATTAGTACTTGGCAATTGTTATCAGCCTAAAGAGGACTACCACCTTCTCAGTAAACAGTTCAAGAAAGAGCTGACCAACAATTCTGAAACAAAGAAAATTATTTTCTTGAGACACATTTTTATACAACCACAAGACTCAGTCTCATATCAAAATTATACAGAAAATTATCTTTTGGAGTTTCTAGCACTGAAGTAGTATTCTTACTGATAACTTTTCTTCTGCTCTGCAATTACTGGTGTCTGTCACAGTTCAGAGAGGATATTGGAAAGTTTAAAGTTGACTTCCATTGTAACATATCACAGTAGATCAACATTCTGCAGTGAAGTTGTTAGTTGAGAGCGCTAGCTTCAACTTAGAGTAACAAAGTGTCTCTCATTCATTCTCATCCCCATCCTGCCTCTCTGCAAGGGTGGCAGGACTATCAATAGTACACTCCCTACTCTTATATCTGAACAGTTCAGCAACAGCATGTTTCTGCTTTCTGGGAAAAGATAGGAAGTAACTCGAATGACAGCTGACAGGGGTAAAACCAGTTAATTACAAAACAATGGTAGCAGAAAAAACCCCACCTACTGAGCAAATAAAAATAAAGAAGTCTTAAAAAGAGGAGTCAAGTCAATCTTTCTTCCCCATAAACAAAAATTGTCATAGTGTGGGAGAGTGCTTTTATTTTATTTTCAAACAAATACCTTTGGATTTGTCACTTATTTAAATTTAATCTGTAACACAAAGATTACAATTTTTCAGACCATAAAACAGTGTAGAGTGCTGACCAATGACAAAATCCTCAAACAAAAAATACTACTTCTAAAAAACCACTTTCTTTCAACAGAAATGGGAATTCTTACTACTCTATCAGGTGTGTCCAGAAATACCAACAAGGACAACAATTCAGGTAATGTATAAGCATCTGTCTTCTGCCCTTTGTCCTTTTTTTCACTCCACCACTTTGGCCATGTGAAATATCCTCTCCTGAAATTTCAGATATGCCTTTTTTGAAAAACTAATGCTGTCATTGCATAGCAACGTTCTCCAATGACATATAAGAAACCTTCAAAACTAAAAAACAGAAGAGCACTACACTTTTAGGAAGTACTCTACAAGCACCATTTATCATTTCACACTAACAGTTTAGAAAAATCCTGTAATTTATCACTGACAACACAATGAAAGACAGAACATTATGTTTTATATCAGAATACTGATCTGACAAGACAGATCAGCAATGGCAAGAGTCCTTAACAAATACATTTTTACAAGTGAAAGAAACCTCAACGCACTGATTTTGTCTTCTACAAAGAAAACCAACTAAGAACACAAAGTTGAAGAAATACATATTAGAGACGTGTGAATATATAATTATTAGATTTCTTCCATTAGAAAGTTTCAGAGAAGATAGCATTTTGTGACAGAACTTTATGCTTTCAAATGTAACATATAATTCTTACTGTCTTTTCTCTTTCATGATGTCAAAGGATGCTGCCATATTCATCAGTGTTGGTAAGCAGTGCAAGTGATGGCTATGAGAATGAGGAAGAATTGTGTTTGCCTACAAAAAAACCCAACAAAAGACCCGCTAAAATAACTTATTACAATGATTTCATCCATCTTTTTAGGATCAACATTTCAATAATCTACCACTTTTCACAAGATTTTAACAAATTTATGACAACAAAATTACATTTTGTTTAACGTCAGAGCATAATTATCCACATGATTTTGAATTTGTGATCTAACAAATCAACTGAATTACATTAGCAAGTCACTTGAAACAATTTCAGAGTTTTATAGTACATATTGTTTCCACTGGAGTTTAAGTTGCAATATGCAAAGACTTGCAAAGCAGGAGCTTATGTCATGTACATAAAAGTACTAAAAAACCCTAAAATCAGAAATCCAATTAAAGCTGATGTTTCTACTAAAGCATTAGTGCACAAAAACCCCTGATTTATTAACATAACATTCTAAGTTACTTGACATTTAAGTGCTTTTAATAAACATACATAGTTCTGCAAATATTTTTAGAAACTAAAGAACATGAAGATAAAGAGATTATTTACATTTCCAAACACTAAATAAACAGGTGTATTTAGTGTATTTTTAAAGTATTTTTTTCAGTCTTTGAGAAACAGTAGCCATATCTGATTAACAGATCATCCTTCAGAAAATCAAAAAATACCTGTGCTTTATAGCATACTCCAGTGTGAGTTAACAATCACACCCATTCAAAAGTATTCAGGAAACCAGAAAAATAGGATATAATATTATAAAAAATGTACACAGGAGTATTTATGAAAACAGTATCATCATCTCAGTACAAGATTAGTTTAAGAAAGAGAAGATACTGTAAGAGCTGTCTTAGGTCCACAGAAGTGGAATGAAGCTGAAGTTTCCCTGCAGCAGGAGCACTCCACCAAGATGGAATTGCCTGAATGAGTAACACGGAGTACCAAAAGCACATCAAGCTGAGTATGAATAAATTTTCATCTGTCTCCCCGGTGAGGCAGAAAGCTAAACACACTTGGTCAGAGGCCTAGTGACCATCATTCTTAGAAAAGCAAAAATTAGCAATGGTCCTTTTCCCAAACACAGTTACTGATGGGAGTGTTCAGAGGGTTCCAGCTTAAAAATACAACTGCTGCTATGGCAAGAAAGTGAGAGTCAGACCTACAGACAGCCTTGGAGCAGAGCCCCTAGCACTAAATTCTTTCCAAACAGTCTTCCTATTGAATTATACTGGCTTTAATCTATGAAGTGCCAGAAGATATAATGTGAAATTAATCCACTATTCATATGAAATCTACATGTTTCAAGCTTGGAATACAAATTAATGCTATAATAGCAAGTATCTATTCACAAGTAGTTACATAGAGTGGTATTTACCATGTGCAGAAGTTCTCCCAAAAGGATAGTTGCTCTGACAGATACATGGTCATCGCTACTTGTGATCACTTCAACCAGACCCTTCAGAAAGCAAAAAAACATTACAACATTTAAGGTATAACACCTTGCTTGAACTCTTGCAAGGAAAATGTAGCAAGTATCTATTAGAACTGAAAGTCATTAGTTACCTCCAGAAGCCCATTGGTAATAAAAGCAGAAAGCACTAAAGCCAAGTAATTATCCATGAGATCAGGCCTAAAGAGGAAAAAAGTATGAAAACAGTTTAGAAAGTACATTTCTTATTGTTCCTGCAAGAAAACAAGAAACGTTTTGTCCACACTGCCACAAAACAAAAGAAAAGGAATGGCTTTGACTAAGTTAAAGTCATTAAATCCTCACCTTGACCTGGCTCGATGGGGTAAAACAGTTTTAGCCTCAGCAGCTACAAAGCCATCAGAAAGTCTCCAGCAGTCTTGAAACCTGCCTGGATCTAGAACAAAAAAATATGGACAATGGTAATTATAAACTTGGCTTTTACAATATTACTATAATGGCAGTCTGTATGTAAATAATAACCCTTGCCTGCAAATATTATTTCAGGTGGTTTCAAATTACAGAAAATTTTGTCAGAGGGGATCTCTAACAAGTCATCTAGTCCACAGTCCTGAACAAAGCAAGGGTACCTTGAAAGCTAGGACAAAGATTGTATCTAAGTGTCAACAAAAACAGTGATATTTCCAATTCATAAACATATTAAACATGTTTAAGAGAAAATACCATTAGCACCTAAAATGTTACAAGGGACATCCATATATAGGAGTAGAAAGTTTGCAACAAATAATGATTTATTTACTTATAAATTTAAAAAAGCAGAGACTTCTCTTGGGTTTACAAAGGACTAATTCTAAAGGTAAAATACTAACTTGGTTAAAGACACGAATAAGCATGCACTTGCCCTCAAAAAAGCAGCAGTCTAAGGACAATGGAGACAACTAACAGATAGACAATATACAGAAAAGACTGACTAATAACTTGTCTGTAGTATTCACTAACACATCCACAATTCTGAATATTCCTTCCTAACAGTTCAAAGAAGTCTAATCTGTAGTGCTGACCTTACAGTCTTTGCATTAATGCCTAACTATGCTGATCTTTCATCAAACTTATAATACTTAACAGGTGATAAAGAATTTCAGACAGGACTTCATACACAGAATTCTTATGTGAATTGTTTTAAATACTTACCTACACTGAGAAGTGCCTCAATAAATTCTTCTGCAATAACAGGGAGAGGAAGGCGAAATATATCGTAGAGAACTTCAAGCAGACCTCGCTACCAAAGAAAACATAACACAACAGGAATTTTACAGATTTACAAAATTGTCCCTTAAGATTTCTAGAGTGCTAACACTGGTGCATTTGTTGCAGTGTTTTTTTCACAAATGGAAATAAACTGGAGAAGAGAGGATGAGGTTTTTTTTACTTTTGAATTGTCTCTTATTGTCACTATGAATGCTATAGTAGTTCAGGCTACTTAGACTGCAAATTTTTACAATAGTTACATCTGGAACCATCAACTTTTCTCTATTAAGTTTAATTTGTGAAGAAACATTTTTTTACCTGGAATTCAACTCTGATTATTATGCTCTAAACTTGCGACTGCAGCTATTGTAAACGTGCGTTGATCTGTACCAGAGTAAAAACTTACTTATGAACTTTTCTCCATTTTGTCACATACACATGGTGTGCTTCCCAATTTCGTAGGAATTTTATAACAGAATTGCAGACTTGAACTTTGGGGGGTTAAATAAACTCAGGAACAGCTGTTTCATAACTGGAGTCTGTATTTATTTAAACCACTTAATTGTTTAAAAGTTAAGAATAACTTAATTAAAATATTAAGTATTATTTCAGTAATATATTCCAGTAAGTATATTATCAGTACTAAATATTCATCACCTACCCGGATTTCCATATTTGGTATACAGAGTACCCCAATGAGAGACTGAATCCCAGAATTTCCAGGTTTGCACAGGCTGATAATACCTAGAAAATATTAAATGTATAACAATATTCCCTCATCAACAAAAGAAAGGACAATAGACACATTTTTAAATTAGATTTCCAGTTTGAAAATAAGTGAAAAACATGAAAATAACATGAAAAAATAGTTACTAATCACAAAACTTTATTTCCTCATTAAAAAATTGTGCTACTTTTGTCCTTCCATTGTGAACAGTACTCAAAAGTTACCTGTGAAAACAACATATGTATGGAAGAAATGAGAAAAAGATGAAAGTGTCTCTAATGAGTAACTCTTCAGTCTGAAGGTTTTCATCATCTGAGCAGAACTGTTAGGCATTTCAATCAAAAGCTGTATCTTAACCTAACAAATTAATTCATTTCCCTTTAGTCTCAGGGGAATTCTAACAGCTGTTAGATCTAAGTGTCTGAGTCCAGGAAGATGCAGTAACACACCTATCAGAAACTGTTTTCTGAAAAGTTTCAAAGTCATCACATGCTTCCTCTTCAAGCATGTGAGAACACACAAGAAACTTGAAAGATACCTAAATATTAAAATTAAGCTTAGTGATCATTGTCAGAATTTAAAAAAATAACACAAATAGTGTCGCAAAACAGCTTAAGTATAGCCTGGAAAAACTCCACTCAAAATTTTGGTAAATGTTTATATTAACTGATTTAAATCTGCAAGACAGTGTCTTGAAAAAAAAAAAAAAGCAATCCCTGAGGCAGTACCTTCATCTCACATATTGTAATATCACAGAGAAAGGATTTAGTAAAATGAAAAAAAAAAAAACAACCTTTTTTGATTTAGAAATATCTTCTACATGAAAAATTGCTATGTCCATTTCCAATTTCTCTTCAGCTATAGCAAAAGCAGATGAAATATTTGCCAATATCTCTTAACACAGACAAAAAGACTTCATTTACAGTGGCAGAACCATCTCAAATGCAAGTTCTTATGATATGAATGTTATTTTAAACACCCTTTAACACATTAGATTTCAAGAATGACCATCAAAATGTAATTTATAAGGCATTTTACACAGGAGAGGAAAAGCTATGCCTTCTCAGGAGTCTAAGAAAACTATGCATTGCATCCTCCAATTTTACAGTATCAAAACACATATTAAGTTCCATTGTAGGAAGGTATTGATAGAAATTAGACATATCAAATGAGACAGATCATGTGTCATTAAATAGAGATAAAATCACACTTCCGATCATCCAATTTCAAACAAATAAACAAGTCTTACCTGCCCATGATCGAAATGCAGCCACTATTCCCATTTTACTAGCCAGGAATCGCGCTTCTCTGTCCTCTCTGCCAGTGAAACAAAAAATGTCACAATGCAGGTAATAATTACCAAACAAACAGTACTACAGTATTATTATTAAAAGGTAGTTAACTGAGATAGGGGACAAAATCCAGAGTAAAAGAAGTATTTTATGTATGCATATATGTGTACATATGTATTTACACAATGTATATAGACACAGAAAAGGTTTAGAATTTTTGATTATTGTTACTTTTTCTCTGCCAGGGGAGTTTCCACAGGAGGATAACATAAAAAACACCCCAAGGGGTCATATGTATCACTCTGCACCTCCATTGACACTAAGTCTAGAGCAGAGATGTAAAGATTTGGACCTTATTCAGTAACCCAGACCTAAGCATCTAATCCTGTTTCATAATTAAAAAATCCTGAATAATTCAAGTTGTAAGCCACCTCAGGAGATCTCTCTTTAGTCCAAATCACCTAGTCTGTTATCAGACTAGGCCAGATTATAGAAACATAGAATGGTTTGCTTTGGAAGGCACTTTTAAAGGTCATCATAGTTCAACCCCTCTGCAAGAACTCAGTAAATGCCTTTACAGTGTCCAGAGCTTTAGGAGGTATATAAGCTTTTGTAACTCAGCTTGGAATACCTGCAAAAAAACTCAAGGCTTTATCCAGCTGGGTGCTAGAAACTCAAGGCAGCAGGACCTCTCTGGACAACATATTCTAACTCTTGACCAGCCTCATATATAAAATCATCCCCACTGCCCCTAATATCAAGTTGAAATATTTCTTGCTACAATTTGTCTCTGTTGCTTCCTGTCCTCCCACCTTACACCGCCATGAAGGGCCCTGGCTATATCATCTTGAAAGCATTTTCATAAGTAGTAAAAAGGCTGCTATTCAGCAGAGGGGGTGCCTCAACCTTCTCCTCTCTAGGCTAAACAAGCCCTTTTAAATCTTAAATTCTTAACAGTATTTTAGAAAACTGTACTCTGGCCTACAAAATTCAACTTCTAGAAATTTAGTATTTGGAAGGAGTACAGCTCAATTCCAATGCTATGAACATAACTGATGGCACAAGTAGCAGCACTAACACTTACTTGAGTTGTCCTTCTGCTGTGTCTGGATTATGCCTGTAGTGAAAATCTGTGTAAGGGGCTAAAATTCGCTAAACAAAAGAAAGACAGGCATTATTTTCACATGAAAATACAGTTAAGTCGCTAGTGCCCTTTCCTCAGTCCCACTCCACACTGTTGTATTATTTCTGCTTCGTAAGTCTCAGGCTTTTAGCCTAAAACATTTTATCTTTTATCTTAGACACTGCGCGCTAACACACAGGAAATCTGCGACAAAAGTAAAACATTTTAATGAGTAATAAAGTGTTTAATTTCTGTCACTAAACAAATAAAACTGTACTAACCTCTAATTCTACATCTGCTCGCACATACTGTCGGGTCTTTGGATGATTAATGAGGTGCAAAACTGTAGTTATCAGAGCCTCATTTATTCGGCTTAGCTGACAGTCAATCACATTTTTCAAGATGGTACTTAAACCACCCCGAAGAGCCACCACCTCAGGATTCTGAAGAGCTAGATAAAGGAAAACAGGTAATTTTGGCCAGTGATCTAAGATAAAACATTTCATGGTATATGACAATCTCGTCATCTCTAGTATGGGTATCTTATTTATCCTGAACACTGCTGAGGCACATGTAGAGCTTTTCATGGAACTAGTTGACACTGGTAATGAATGGTGATTTTGGATTAATTTATCATACACAAAAATACTGGTCACTCAGTCTCCAATTGGGCCATTTCCCAGTTTAACTCCCAACCAAGTTTCCATATAGCAGTTTCTGGATTTTCCCATGAAGAGTTTTCATGCTTCACTGAACCAACATAGATAAAATATTTATACTGAAATAAGAGTAACATTTTGTTTATTTCTGTAAAACAGAAACTTTAATCCTGTAAACAAATTACTGAATTATTTCCCACTGATTAATTTTGAAAACCTTTAAAAAATAGCAGCCAAATGAAAGTTTAGGGAGTTAGTATAAACCACTGTCCTGACAACTACAGTACCCACCCCAAATTTTTTTTAAAATGAGGATATTTTGCTGTTCTCTGAACTCTTCTAAATTTGTAAGCATCTTGTGTATGGAAGTCTCTCTATTTCAAATCCTTTACTTTAAAAAACTCCAACTGCAGTAGAGAAATGTTTTTAAGGCAAACCAAAAACTGTCAAGTCTTGAAGGAAAAGATGAAAACCTGAAACCTTTGCCTATGATACATAAATAGCTTTTAAGTCATTTTGGTTTATATCATACAAATAACTAAAATCCATTAAACTGTTGATAGGAACACTTAACATCTAATTCCTTATTAAACAAGTACTGTGAACGACAACCATGTCAAAACTGAACACTAAGAAAAATTATCTTACCTAGCTCACAGATAATGGCTATACATGCTCGAACCATTCTGTCTCTTTCTTGAAGACCATCATTTCCAACTGCTATCAAAGAATTAGTAATAGAACTGGGGAACAATGAAGCGTTCACAGTGATCATCTGCCAAAAAGGAAAGAAAAAGCCTTCTGGTTTCTTTACATTTCTCTAAATACACTTACATATTCACCTCAATACACTTACATATTCACAGCTAGACAGACCAGTCTGCCTATTACTTGGCTGTATCTGGTGAATCTTCACAGCTATTTATTTTGCTCTTGAAATTTTTTTCAATTTCAATTTGTTTGTCAATTTACTTTACCATTCTCTTTGTGTTTCCGTTTTTTGTTTTTATGTTTTATCTTAATATGAAAGAATTTAAAAGATGTTTTTTGCAGTGAGAATTAGGACTACCTTCATCATAGGATTTTTTTCCCAAAAATATCTTGACAACATTATCCAATGTGTCCAGTATGCCAAAATATTGACATTATCCAATGACACAGAATCAACTACAAACTCATCTACTATTAAGGACATTTTGCACCACAGAAAGCCTCAGCTGTTAGTTTGAGATACTCAGAATTCACACCAGATTAAGGAGCAAGATGCATTAAAAGCTAAAGAAAACCATTCCTGAACAACCAATACACCAACTCTTGACTGTCCCTCAAGTGAGCCTTTGATTACAAAGGCTGAGAAACTGTTCACATTTTTTTAATTTATGAAAATTAAATAGACATATCCTGCTGGAACAAGAAGATCACTAAACTAATGTATTACTAAGGAGGAAGCAGGTTTTTGTCTGACTGTCTAAAAAGGGAACAGTGCAATGTTTTATAGCCCACTCAGCCATGTCATCTTTTTTTCTCTACAAAAATGAGACATAAAAAAATATTCAATATCCATCAAGCACCTAAAAAATTAAAACTAGTTTCCCATGCTTTTGCTTATCTTCTTTTTTGTTTTCAACAAAACCAGGCTTATCTTTGTAATTCTTCCAAAAATATTTTGTCCTATATCCACTTTATATCTTCCTTTGATGTGTTGTAGGTATCTGTACAAAGACGATTAGTTTTTTACCTTTTTTTGCAGAGATGTTAAAATGAGAGGGGATCAACAATTATGACCAAAATATTGAAAGAGTTTTAACAAATCTATCTTTAAATATATGTTTTTGAGAAGCTTCTTGTTATATATAACGTTAATGCCAATGAAACAGGAAGTTTTAAGATAGGACTTTAAAGAGAAAACAAATTCTCTCCCACCCACACACTCTTTCACTTTTACACTGGAAGAAGAAAAAAGAATAAGCAATAGAATAGGTGCACCAATCCACTCTAGAAATTGCAACTTGTTTGCTACTGATATTGACATGGGACTTCCTGTGAGGACACAAGCTGCTCTGCTTCACTGTCTTCTTTGCTTTGCAGGCAAGAGAAGGAAAGGTTTCTTGTAACACTCAATTCTAAACACATCAGTAGAATAAACAATTTTCCTCATTTACTTTGTGTCTGTTCTTTGTATTAAAATGCAGTTCTAAAGACCAAGGACAGGTAAAGGAAAGCTACTTTTAAGTAGCTACAATGAAATAAGTAATAGAGAGTATGAATTTGGTCTTTTAAGACTCCTTTAGGAAAGAGGAAGAAAGAACATGGCTCATATTGCATCTAACCCTGACTTCTGCTTTAAAAAGAAAACACCCGGACCATAAAATTTAAAAGAAATGTGTTACTGACTTCTATCAGATATAAAAATGCTTCCGGAAGCAACTTCATGACATCCTTTTCATGGCTTAAGATATTACTAAATTGCAAGACTTTTACCCGCAAATGTAGAGGTGATTACAGTCAAAACAGGCAGTGAGCACTCTGCCTTCAAAAATTATTTGAGATCAAGTTTAAAAAGTTAGATTTTTTTAAATCTACATACACACCATTTAAACCTAATATTTTTAAAACAAAGTTTACAATTGCCTTTTCTAAATTCATAAAGAAGTATTACTATTTTATATTTTGTTGTTCTTCTCTATGAAAAGAAAGAAAAGAGAAGGTTTTAATTTTAATGTATGCAATTCTCACAGACATTTTTACTACCTAAGAGGAGGTTAAAGAGCCACATCTTGAAATTAGATGTGATAGAATAGTTAGATAGATAGATAGAATAGTTCTGTGATACTGGCAAAACACAATTCAGTTTCACAGTTAATTATCTTCTGAACAAGTTTGTTAGCTTTTTTTCATTTTTTGCACCATTTATTCTTTCCTTTTAGTCATTTATATTATAGGGTCCTATTCCTAATCTTTTAGCAATCCTGGCATCAAATCACTAAATCTGAGACACTGAGGGAGATGAAGACAGAAGGAGAAGAAGGGCAAGAACAAGGTAACAAAAAGACAGTGTGAAAATACAGATTATGCTATTCAAGAAGCACAGTATTCCTTGTGAGAGAATTTCTTGAGCATTGACTGCTCTATGCCAATGCATGCTTAACTGCTGTGGCCTAGACAGCACATGAGGAAGCTGTTAACTTTAGTGGTAGCAGGCTGGGTGGCTTTTTGTTGGTCTGACACTGTCTTTTAAGAAAACAATGTTATAGGTAACTAGCAAAAGATGCTAGAAAAGGCTTTCCATCAACACAGTTCTCAGCATCAAGGAACCACAAGTGTGGCTGCACAGCCTGTGCGTTTGATGCACAGACCTGGTGCACACCAATATCCTTGCACCACAACAAAGGAAAAAAACCCACCAAGGGTCAGCTGTATGATTTCTTTGATGCTTCTCTTTGACCATAATTTTTTTCAGATCAAGCTAATGAATTTGTTTCTCTTGCTGTCTCTTCTTTCATGCAAGACAGAAGTTTTTGTTCAAGTAGAAAATGCTCAAAAAAGCCCAGAAATAATGAGGACAAATTTCTGACCCAAATAAAACTGATTATGGATGTGCTTCTATCCTCTGATGAGTCTACACTGAAGCTCTTCTTTCAAAGTAGATTCACAAAAAACTTTTATAATAAAAACTTCTTTAAGGACCTGTTCCTTCATACTGGGGCTTTTTTGTTTGTTTTTGTCCTGTTTGGGTTTGGAGGCAGATGTCTTTAATACTTAAAAACTCTCCTTTTTGGCACAATTGTTAATCAAGTACATTGTATCTCCTGTGAGACAGAAAATATATTTAGATAGATTTAAAACACAGAAAGAGATTTAACACAGACAGTACTCCTGGGGAACCATTCTTCAACTACTTCAAGCTTTACTCCAGTCTTCGGTAGTTTCTATAAGAATATGAGAACAATAAAGAACAGCGAAGTCCAGCACAAAGGCAGGATATTATGTTTCCTGAGTACATTTAGTACGTCTATATGCCAATTTTTCTAGGATGAACTTGAAAATGCAGCAACCATCCTTTTAAATCTCACATCCATGAGATTTAAAACACAGTAACCATCACAGACTAAACATATTTCATTGAGTATCTGAGACAAAATCCTGTGGACAGCATCAACTGCTACCAACAAAGCAGTAAGGTTATAAGCATTCCTTGAATGATCACTTCAGTGACAATTTGTCTCAGATCTTGCATGGCAGAAAATCTCCCAATCTCTGATTCACAGATGTTTAAACAAACTATACAATGAAGTAATCATAATTTCAATATTTAATGTTGTTTTTATGCCCTTGCATTCACTCTTTGATAAGTGTTTCCCAAACCTTGTCCAGTAAGCATGATTTTTCTAGCACACTTGAGATTCTAAATGGTAAAATTGTAAAACCAAAACAACTCTCTTCACTACATTTTTCTGTCTTTTAAATTATCAGCTTTATTACATGATAAAGGTAAAGCAAGGTATTAGAGACTGTGAAAAAGCACTGTTGATGGAGACAGCCAGGAGTCAGCACAATTGAGTGGCACAGCAGATACAACCATACATAGGAGATTTTACCTTTCTGACTAATCGAAGTGCTTGTGTTCTTTCTACTTCATTACTCTGCTGTATGTCAATGCACCTAAAGTAAGTTAAAAAAACACATTTTGTAACTTTCACCTTAATGGTTAATACCTCATGTTAATATTTATGCACATGAGTACAAAAGAAAAATAATTGACTTATGGTTTAAAAACTACACTTTTCAGCAAATATACTCATTGTGATACATCAGTTAGGTTTGGTTTATATTTTCTCCGCTATTTTCATTACAACTAAGTCACTAAAATGCTCTCAAATATAAAATGGCAAAGCATAATGCTTCAACAACTATTTTCCAAGGCAGCTGCATTTGTCATTTGCAAATGAGACCACACCAAATATTTCTAATGTTTCACATCAACACACCTTGAGTGTTTCAGAGTTTGAAATCAGAAAAGTCCTTTTGCTCCAAAAAGGTTGAACAGCACACTAAAATTACATGTGTATATTTATAAACAGAAATTAAATTCACACACATCTGTACCAGCATATTAAATAAAAAATTTCATTACAGGAAGCACTAGAAATGCTATTATTTATATCTATTCATCATGCTGATTGTATTATCTCACTGTTGGTTTGCCCATTGGTACTTTTCTGTTGTGTCATTGATTATATTTAGACTACAAATTCTTGGACATCAACTATTACAGCAATGTGATAATACAAAGAATCAAACAATTCCCATACAAAAACTCAAGACATTAAAATTATTAATATTTCAAGCATATTAATTAATAGTTAATGGCATTTATGACTAGAAGTAGAAATTATTTGGATACTTGTAATGTATCATATATTAGGACAGAATTTTATTTGGATTAACTAGTTTGATGAAATATTCTGTTGAAGCAAAAAGGATTTTTTAAAACTATTCACTAAAACCATAAGAGACTATGGAAACACTTCTCTCCTCTATCAACCATGTAAAGGTAAGTGATTTAGACCTTTACAACTTGCAACAAGAAGAAAGAGAAAAATTACCTGGCTATCAAATAATCCACTTTCAACTTTAGCACCTTCTGGAGAATACTGGAGTCTCGAATGAGATAGCGGAGGGCTCGCAATCCTGCTGCTCGCACCTCTTTTGCTTCATTCAGTAAAGCTAACCTCAGACTAGAATGAAGAAAACAAGAGGGACAAACAACTATTAGGCAGCAGGTAAGACTTCACCATCTGACATGCAGCTACAACTCACTCATTTAAGACAAAAAGTAGGATTTTTAAAAATAAACGTTCTGAACTAATTTTCTGACTTTCAGGTCTTCTCATGTGCAACCTAGAAGGCAACCCTTCATCCTGGTCGGCAGATGTAGACAATATATTAATCTTAAAAAGCCACAAATGAGTTTTTCCCCCAATTAACAGCTTATACATCCTTGAAACGACACAGAATGAAAACCTGTACACAAGTTATTTGACAAAACAGCTGACCATAATTCTAGTCCAAGAAAATTAAGAGGTAGAATAAGGTAGATAAGAAGAAATGAGATATGGAAGAACTCTAGAAATTGAATTAGAAAGCATGAGGTAGCACACTGTCCTTCTGAAGGCCCTCAACATATTCGTCCCTCTTCCTCAACAACATGCAGGGTGGGGTGGGAAACCTCAACCTCCCAATGACACTTTCTAAGAGGATTTTTCACTGGACATCTAAGATCATAAATACTTCATCCACTGAGACTGAATTTCTACTTCTAAAAAGGTTTGGGGTTTTTTTTTTCCTTATTCTAGGGTTGTCCTACATGGTAATCAGCTACTCCAAGGCAAAATATCTTCAGAGTCTTTTGGTGAATACCTGGCCAGGGTAAGTCACTGTAACAGGGGCCTACTCCCAGGTGATACCTAGACAAAGCAGGCTGCCATACCATTTGCAAAAAAGATGAACTGATTATTACTTTCAGCACCAAATAGGGACTTGTTTCAAAACCATCTTTCCTGTAATATGAATATGCTACCCACATTGCTTTGGATGCAGGACAGAGCTGGATTTCTGGACTTGCAAAACTGGACAACAGGACTGCTGACTCATGTCCAGCCCCTCATCCAGCAGGATCCCCAAGTCCTTCTCAGCAGGGCTGCTCTCAATCAGTTCAAGCCCCGCCTGCACTGATACTGAGTGTATTCCTGATACCACAGATCTTTGAGTACAACTCCTGGCCCTGCACAGGACAATCCCAAGGATCATACCACGAGCCTGAGAGCATTGTCCAAACAAACACTTCTTGAACTCTGCCAGGCTACCTAGGGAGCCTGTTCTGCTACCCAACCACCCTCTGGGTGAAGAACCTTTTTCTGATACCTGACCTAAACTTCCCCTAACACAACTTCAGGCCATTCCCTGGGGTCCTCTCACTGGTCAATGGAAAGACCAGATCAGAGGCTCCTCCTCCTCTTCCCCTGTGAGGAAGCTGTAGACCAGTTAATGAACTGAAACCACTACAAAGGAAAAGACTATCATGAGATTCAACACTCAAAAGCAAAATCTGCCAAAAAGAGATGTGTCACTATCTTTAGGTATGCAATGAAAACATATATCTAGTCAAAAAGATAGAGACATCAGTTTTAGCTAGAAAACAATTACACAAAGTTTCCCAACATTTTGCTCAAAGAGCAATTAGCTTTCCTAACCTTTTCTGCTTAAGTGAGATCTAAATTGAAAGAACACAGAAATGCATTAAATATTAGATCTTTGCTTTTGTCACCAGTGCTGGTCTTCAAGACAAATTTAAAAACTTCTGTGCGCAAATAAGCATGTAGTTACATCTGACAGTCAAAATGGCCAAAAAACAGACAGAAATTCCACTTAAAAGAATATACACAGGACATGTAGTAGCAAGGCAAGTAGAGCTTCATGGACATATACACACCAGTACAACATAAAATACTGGTCTTTAAATCTCGAGTCTTTATCAAGAGTATCCTCTGTATTTTGTAGATGTACCTTTTTATTACAAGTGCTTTCTACAACTACTGAAACACTGAGAGGTACTTTTACATCTTGGAGGAATATAATGAAGAAATCTACACTTCTAATTTGGAGGGTTTGTCACTGTTTGCCTAACAGTGAGAAATATATTTCTGATTTTACTCATTAAAATATTTGTAGGTTATATACTTGCATTATGAAGCTTCAAACATATTATAAATACAAAATACTAGTTCAAAATATAAATGAAGTTTATTTAATTGGACCTAAACAACTGAAGTTCCCTAGGATTGCCTAGTGCTCTTTACTACTTACCATATAATGATGCTGTCATAGGTAAAACCCAACTTTTCTTCAGCATGGCCAGTATTACAAAGAAGCTGAAAATAAGATAAAATACCTATTATTTATAGGTATCCAAAAATAACCATGAAGAATTATAGATTTTGGGAAATGCTTTCAAAAAAATCTGAGAAATTAAATTTGTAGCAAGGAGAGAACACCAGCTTCAGACTTCCCTGAGAATTTCTGTGGTACGTATTGTGCTCCTATACACACCAGATACAGAGACTCACCTGTGGATTTCCATACCAAAACAAGGTCGCACCATGTGTAAGCTGTGTACTGGTCATTCTATTTTACTGGTTAAATTACAACTGGTAATTTGAGCAGAGAGCAAAAATGAGTGAAGTCAGAGCAAATCTGCAGGGGCTCTGGTAAGAGTTTTGAAACAAAGACTGACACTGATGTTCCACTGTCATGTTTTGTCACAATAGCACAGAAATACAAAAAAATCAGAAGGCATTTCAAGTGTCCTGTAACTGACATTTGGTCTTGGCCTGCCACCCATCCTATAGAATTTGTACCTCTGAAAAATCAGAGCAAAGTTTGAATTAATGCACACAAAAAGACAGCCATAAACTGTCACAAACTGGACACTTCAGCCATATGTAGTCACTGTGAACAAAGAAGATTTACAAGCACAGTTTTAAAGTCCAAAACCAGGCTTAAAAGGAGCAACCTAGGTTGCCAATGTTTTAGCCTCTTGAGGAAAGGAAAACAATCTCTTCTGTAAGAAGAGCTGATGCTGTTCTTTTCAAGAACAGCAAAGAAATTCCTAGTAATCTCACTATCCCTGGCTAAAATTATAAAATATTATCATGTCCAAATCCCAAAGCACTTCTCTAAGCACTTCCAAAAACTCAAGTGACTAATACTGATTGCAATAGCTTTGCACTTTGTCCTCCGTTTTCAAAACAGGCATGTGTCCAGTTCTAAGTCAGCGCAGCATTAAGTTTCTCCTAGTGAGGAATTCAGGAAGTATTTGTGCTAACTAGTCATTACCTCTGTTCTGAAAATACTGTGATATATCAAACCCTGTGACACATTCTTTATGTGTATTTACTGCTAACAATAAGAAATTTATAATAAACAACACAAACAGCCAAATCAAGGCTATTTTAAGTTAAAGTATTTAGTATGTTCCGTGCTTCAGTTCTACTGTTCACCTCCATCTGAAAAAATGACATATTGACAGAACCGCCTCTTTTAAGTAAACCAACAAGTAGAAATTAATTCAGTGATCACATTATGTCTTACAAAATAGTCTTTCAAGAAAAATATTTAGTGATAATGCTGAAATTTATGGCTGTTAATGAGAGATTATTAAATTGGCCTGGATCAGCTCCACGTTTGGGCTCAAATAACTTAATTGAAGTATTTTGGATTTTGCATTTTTCTTAACCAAAGACAATTGTCAAACATAAGGAAAGTTTTTACATAACCTTTTTTTACCACCTTTCAAGTTTCAGTGATAATAAAACTAGACAATTGATGCACTAACTGATTATGACAGTATGTCACTTCCTAACATCAATCTATTTTTATGCCATGTTGTTGGACTGCCTAAGGCCACCACTGCTGCTTTAGCATTTCTATTGACATCTTATGAACTGTAAAAATTGGCTGGCAGAGTGTAAGCAAAACAGTGCGAGAAGATAGTGAGTAAAAACAGTTCATTGTTCAGTTGCAGACAATTACATCAATAGCTGTTTAGGCTAATCATTTATACATCTAAACCTTTCCCCAGCATTCCACCCCAGACACAAATGAGAAATCCTAACTTAACACAGCAGATTGTCCTCAACAGCCTATTTTTCCTACTTTAAAAAAACCCATAGAATTCTGATGAAGGAAAAACCCATTTTTTAGAAAGCTGCTATAGTGTGCACTAGTGCATTAGTGAAGCTAGTCTCCTATCACACATTTACCATTGGTTTGCATCTTGAGCAGTCCTGAGATTAAACTGAAGCATTTCTTCCAGGAACCCATCTAATTTGCTGCACTGCTAAAAAACATTCAGTTCACTGAACCAGTTCTAGTCTGGTTGTCACTCTCACCAAACATATACAGTGGTTATTAGCTCCTCAATACCAACTGTTTTCAACTATGTATGTGCTTCCACTGCACACATCTTCACTGATGCTGAAAAGAACTTGACCTTATCTTGAAATTCAAACAGTCATGTAACCTGACAAGTTCAAACTTTCATCAAGTTTAACTGCTGTTTAGATATAAATTTCTGAATTTGACAGCAATAATTATAGAAATGTTTGATGCGCATGCAGCTGAAATACTTCTCCCACAAAAAAAGAGAAGAGCTACTAGTTTATTCTCCTTTTAATGGGACACCAGTATACTTATATATTAGCCTTCCGTGTAATTTATATATGTTCCATACAGAAAAGGCCTAAAATGTTGGAAAGCAAGATCAGAATTCAAATATGTTTCAGTGACTTGAAAGGTGTGCCCCAACCCTGTAAAAAGATTTAACTAAATAGTAGGAAAAGCATATCATATCCTTCACGGTACCACAAATTAACAGACACAAGAAAGAAAGTAGGCCAACAGAGAAACAGAATATGTCCAGAAATTCACATTCAGAATGTTAATTTAAAAGAAAAAAGAAAACAAATTTTATCTCTGGAAATACTAATAGGACTGCTTTAAGCTTCAGATTAAAAGACTTCTTCCATTTTACCGGTTGCTCTCAAAACTGCAAGAACAAAATTTTGTGTGCCATATTTTAAGAGCAAAGTGGAAAACGTGTAGCAGAAAAATAGACAAGCCAGGTAGAAAATCCACCCATGAAGGCTGAGCCATTTGCTTTATTTAACCTAGGGAAAGGAAAAAACAAGCTGGCTGGTAAGGCTGGATTTCTATAAGTTTGAAAGGGGGGAAAAAATAGTCATGGAAGCTGCTATAAAGAACAGACTCTGTTCAGCTGCTTCCAATTCCTTGGGTATTTGCTATGTTATAAATGTCTGTCCTTAAATATACTAAAAAATGTCATTGCTTTCTTCTCATTTCACCTTCAAACAACATTAAGTAAATCAATGATTCTGGCCCAAATGCACTGGTATTTCTAGATGGCTGAACTCCTGACAAAGTCAAGTAACTCTCATATGTTTGCCTGTAAGATTTAACAATTAACATATATACCATGATAGCATAACTCAGTAGACAAGCAGTACCAAAATATTAAAATCTATCATTGGCTATACATTGACATAGTTCATAAAAATGGCACTGGATTATAATACCTGGAATTATGAAACTATTTATACATTGATACTATTTATATTTTCCATATATAGATCTTACTTATAACAAGTATACATTTTTAAATACACACAATAAACTTTATATATTTTTATATCAAAATATATAAAGTGTACAAACAAAACCAAACAGAGTATACTTTGTGAATTAAACCTGCAAGTGAGTCCACTTCAAAATTAGTATTTGTGGTCAAATACACAGTGACTGGGCAAAGCAAAGACTCTCTGAGGATAAGATTAAATATTAGGACAAAATTGTAAGCACACTAGGCCAGACAGTGACTAACTTACAGTGAAGGTTTCTTTCATGTTTACTGTCAGCTATGAGTTCTTCATACTACTCAGATGAGTCACAGCAATATGAGTAACATATCAACATGTCTTGGAAACAGTAGCTCAGAACAACAAAACCATAGGAGGTCAACAACATGCACAAATGGAGTGCACATTTGAGACCATTCCAGTTTATACTTAGCAGAATAGCCAGAGCAATTACTAGGTAAAAATATTATATTATTCTGTGCATTCAGGATGTAACTATTGCATTACAACTTTGGAAATACAGTTTGAGCCACCACTGGTAATATTTAAGCAAATACTACTAGTCTTAAGAGAAGTCCCTACTGAAACTGTGGACTCTGGAGTTAGACATATTTGTTTCACAGCTGAATGTCTCTAAGTACATGTTCTGTTCCTATCTGCTACATCACTGTGAGATTTCAGGTTTTGTCAGTGGTTTATCTACTTGGATGAATGTTACAGTCGGGCAATACATTCAGTCTAAGATAACCTGGGTTTTGCAAAAGACAAAGAGACTCTAAAGTGACAGACTGTGAATCAGACATAATCGTGAAAGTCTCTCTCATATCCAAGCCACTCAATCCATATCATCCTAGTGAAAGTCAGCAGCACAGCCAAAAGCCAACAGATACATAGAGCAGAATAATAGAGCTTCATTAAAAAATGACAACTAGTTTCAACAGATTGAAAACATAATTTTCCGTATCACTATATTACTGATACCGTTCCATTCCTAAATTTATATCTAAAATGAATCGCTTGATTTTGTCTTTTAAGAAGTTCCTTTCTTTTTGAAAGAAAACATAAATTCATACAATATCTGTGGATTTCTTTTTCAGCTTGTTATTAAAATACCCTTTTAGTTTTACAAAGGTATGAAAGATCTCTCAGAAGCTTCCAGTGAGATAAACCTTCTATAACAGAGGATTATAAATAAATACTTCAAATCACAAAGATATTTTCCACTAGGTAAATGCAATTGTACAGTTTCTTCAGGTTTTCGATGATTTATCTCACTGTTTCGCATAGGGGTGGGGAAAACCCAAAAGATGTAACCATGATGTTTTGGTACTAATCAGCAGAAGCTGGGGAACTTCAAGGTGCTTGCCTTATGTAGGCGGCCATATAAATTAGAGATGGGTAATCCTACTCAGCTTACTGAAGCTAAATGCATATACCAATCTTGTGAACTGCTGTGACATTTGAAAGTGTCACTGACCATTTATTGGAGGTCAAATTCTCCAACAGTTTTCAGGTCAGAACATAGCTTAAATAGAGTGGCTTGAAAGGAATATCGATTGAGGCAGTACTTCATAAAAGCTTTTGCCCACAAAACTGCAGCTTCATTTACTAGGTGACAAGAAGCACAGGAGGAGTGTGCTCTCATTAAAAGCAGATAAAATTTCTAAGTCTGCTGCTGCTGCAATTCAGAACTAAACATACCTTTCCATAGCCTGTGCATCACAGACTGGGAATGCTAATTTCCTGGAACAGAAAATTTAAGACCACCTGTCAAGCAAGAACAACTCATGTTCTGCAGACAAAGGGTGAAGAACTTGAACACTAATGACTTAGCTACTAAGGAGTACTAGCAAAAACTTGATAAATGAAATGCAAGTTTTTGTAAAATATCACGTATAAAGAATACTTTGCACAGTAATAATGGGTGCAGTGGAAACCTGAACACAACCAGTTAACATTTCTCTTAAAGGGAAGTAGCAATGAAACAGGAGTTACAGCACCTAAGCACACAAGTTTCATGTAAAGCATCTGCTTCACTGTCTCATTCTTGCAGATGAACTAGTAGACTAGAAATCAACTCCTGTTGGCTTCTGATCACCATTATCTTAAAAAAAAATTGAAGTACTTAACTTCTACATAAAAACCTGAAGTCTAGTTCAGTACTAGTTCAGTAATTTTAAAAGAATGATTATGTTCCTGCTCCTTAAAAAAAGGGAGGTAAGGGGAACAGATCTCACCTTAAAAATCCAGTCTAGTTTCAAATAAAGAAATCTAAACATAACACACCTCAGATATCCTGAAAATAATACAAAACTTGGTGTCTACTATGATCCTTGACAGGAAACTCCACATTGGAGTAAATTACGTTACTTGTTTCCATGTCATAAAAACATTTTGCTTTCCCTCACTGAAGAACTAAAACACTAAGATTCACACTCTTTGAAGGAAAAATGTGGGGTAATTGGGAACAATTGCTTAGACTAGTTCAGATGTTTTCTTTCAAGTATATTAATATTTCTAGCAGGAGAATAACAGATGCCATATTATTTTATCTGAAATACATTATAAAAATGTTCAAAGGTCCTTTCCCTGTCCATAATACAAATATTGCAGATAACAAGTAGCTGTTTAAAAATGTACCACAAAATGCAACAATTTATAAACAAATCAATTTCATATTCACTATAATTCCAAGACAGGATACAAACATCCTCAGCCCTTAGCATATCAATCTTACTCACACTCCTGTCTCACAAAGAAGGAACTGAGACTATACCAACTCATCGTAGAAGAACAGAGTGCAAAAAGGAAATAAAACCATCTCACCAAGCTCCAGGCTTTCACTTTTAACCACTGGAATGAAAACCACAGAATTGTTCCAACCACAAGGCAGACAACACAGTACAACTTGCAACTTTTATTCTATTCTCATGGCTGCATTTACAGGTCAAACAAAAATAGGAAGAGTTTTTAAAACCAAAATAGTAAGCAATACATATTCCAGGGAGATGAATATAAGAACAAGTGTTCAATATTAAATTGAGTAGTATGATTCCCTCATACACGTTGATTCTGATTTAGAATCAAAATCAGGTTATGAACTACAGTCTCTGTCTCCAAACAACATATTTAATTTTGTTACGTTGCTTTACACTTGTAATTTCCTGCCAGTCTTGAGTGCAATTTATGAAAACCATCCTTACATTTCTGTAGGTACTTTCAATTTTGAACACTGGGTTTAACAAAACCCCCAAATAACCTTCAATTACTATGCAATCTCTCAAGACTACCTTGTAAAAAGAATATTTGGTTCATCTTTTATTACAATATGCATATTTATTAATTTAACACAGTTATGATTTTAACCTGATTTTATATCTGATTTTCAATAGCAAAATTGACCCTGTTTTAAGATCCCTAGTTCAAATATTGACTTTTCAGTACAAACTGTGCATCTACAAACATAATCCAGCTATTTAATTTTAAAGCAACTAGAGACTTTGGAAGCATTCACATTTCAAAGTTTCCAGATTATCACAAAAAAGAAACCAAGCTATGCATCAGATTTTTCTGGCAGAATAAAGGGCATTCTTGCAACACATTTTGGAATCCCATTGAAAACAGCAGCATTCTGTCAATGGCTGATGTCTGACAGACACAAGCAATAGCCCAAGGAAGAGATCTCAGTGTGAAGTTCAGTTCCTTAGCGAATGAACCTCTTAGCGAACGTTCCTACACATGTTCTGAACCAATCCAGAAAATTTAGAACTTACAGATTTGCTATTAATGCAGTAGAAGACAAATTAATTTGTTACTGTGATTTTGTTCTCAGTAGTCACCATCCTGTTAAGCGAATCTCACACATTACCACTGAAGTGATCAATCTCCCAAGGAGTGCCTTTAACAGCCAAGATGCCTATTTCAAAGATTATCATGCATGTTTGTCCTTCTTGTATCAACTGGTTCCCCACACCTTCCCTTGAGTATTCACTCTTTCACTTAAGATTGGCTCAAAAATGTCAAATAGACTCCTGGCAGTCTTACTTAATTCTTTGTAACAAACTTATCTGCAAGCATAATTTAAACCTTACTTTATTCCTTACATTCTCCTCTACTATGTTATTTCTTGGCTGCTGCTGGTTGCAGGGTCCATCCTCAGTCACAGAAAATCAGTTTTCATTTTCAGGTGTATTGCCCTCTATCAGAAAGGTGTACAACACACTCCATCCCTCTATCAGTCTATCAATCTGGGTAATGCCTACACTGAAGCTTCAGTGTCTCCTGCCTCACTGAGTGCAATGCATGTTTCCCTTGCACTGACAAATTGAACACTGGTCCAACCACAACCACCACATGCCCTACAATGAACACCTTCTCCCTAACTCCCTGACCACCTCCCATGAGTCATCTTAGCTTCTCTCCACAGGTTTCTCCTTTACCCAAAAAATGCTACTTCTTGTCCTTCTGAAAATCTTTCACAGTTTTTTTTTGGTAGCTTACACCCTCATGCTGCATTAATTCTTGCCTCATCAGCTCACAGTGACAGCTTCCAATACATCTGTTGTATTTTAAGTGCGTACCTGCCACAGGTCCATGATTTGGAAGAAGAACATCAAAAATCACCAACACAAGACATATTCCAGAAATGGACCATTTAAATCTTTTTCACTATGGAAACTGCACTGAAAGTTGCAGTTCCTATTCTAGTAGTGTTCAAAACATTGCATATAATGTACATTGATACAATCCTCCCCCCTCATGATACTCAATCAGTTTACATTCAGATAGTATGGCATTTTACATTTTTTATTTTAATTCTACACATCAAGAAGCAAATCTTTGGCTTGAGTTATGCAACTTAACCCATTAACTTGGGATCAAGATACTTCCATCTTCTAAGCACTAAAATATTACAAAAATTCATCCAGCAGGACAGATATGCAAACTTCAGCATAACTCTGCATTCACATATTTGCTTGTCTTTATTTGTTACCTTCCTTTCCCACAGTATGTAGACTTCAAGTACTGTTCTGTAATATGAAGCAATTTCATTAACATCCCAGCCAATGTCTGAGTAAATATGAAACATTTTACCTGTACAATTACTTGTTCTATGACATTATTTGAGCTCTTACCTTAGTAAAATTATTCAAGTGACCTAGTTTTCTCATATTTGACACGCCCTGTAATTTGGCCACATTTTGGAGAATCTCTCTCATATTATCACAAGGATCTGCAAAAGAAAAGAGGGTATTAGCAGATACAGTAAAAGAAAAATAAAAAAGAAGAAAAATCTAAACATGCATTCAATATACTCATATTTAAATACTCATATTTAAAATAGGTACTCTCCTGGTCTCAGTTAGTGATGCAGAGCACTTTTGTTCCAAGAAGCATCTGTCTGATTTATGTCAGGGACCAAAACCATGCATACCTGAGTTCTGTAGAACAAATACTAAAGGCCATGGAAGAGAGACACTCTTACTTCAAAGCAGATTTTAATCAGTATCTTAGATTTGCAGTTGACAAAGAAATCCATTTAGTGCCTGAAATGGCAATCCTTACATCTTGTAAGTGAACAACTTTACTGTTAATCCCCTTGTAATTTAAAGATGAAGTAAGCTCAAAAACAGAAGTTAAACTGTAGCATGTTACTGGCACCCCACAGCACTCCTTTTTTCTCCTCCAGACAAAAAGTTGGTGGGATTTTGGAAAGATGAGACCTCTTTTCTGCTCTCTACATTAATTGCTCTCCACAATGATGCTTTAAATAGAGGGCTAGGCCTTTCCAGTGACTTGGTAAGTGAACTACAAGGCAAGCAAAAGCCTTAAGAATGTCATCTTCTTTCTTCTTAAGAAGAATCCCAACAAAAACAGATGAACAAAAAAAATGCCACCCAGAAAACACTATTCACACACCAACTGATGATCCTGCATTCTGCTAGAAAACAAAGAACAGGCACCATGATGAGAAGAGACACTCTTGTGTCACTTTTAGAATTAAGGTTGGAATTGAGGCAGAGTGGAACAAGCTGCACTGAGGCTGGGCCCAGGGAGCTACTGTAACAGACACTGCAGTAAATTCTGTACCTGGTGGTACTGCGGCAGGGCAGTTTTTAAAAGGGACCAATGTGACGCAGGATTCGCATGGAGTTTTAGATTAGACATTGATTTAGGATAGGTATCAGCAGTTTGAGAAAAATGAAAACCCACGGCTTTCCTGAAGATGTAAAAACTACAGAAAGAAATATATCACCAAAAAGAAGAAATAACTGCACTTCATAAAATGAAGTCTTTAGAACAAGTCTGACATCTAATAAGCAGCAAGTAGAGAGCTTTTGTGCACACTAACTTCAGTAAGAAAAACTTGCCTCCGACTACCGAACTGAACAGCTGCAGCTGAGTTTGTGGCATATACAGAGCCTTTTACATTCCTGTTACTTGTAAAAGTGTGTTTGTACTATTCATAATGGAAAGGAAATCAAGCATTGGAGATGTAAAGAATGCATCAGCTTCACTACCTCTCTACAAACCATGCTTTTACATCGCTTCCTGTACTTTAAAAATTTAAACAGATTTAGAAAAGCAAACATAAGTAGCAATCTTACTAGGATATCTCCAGAATGTGCTTGGACAGACACTACCTGTATTTGCACCGTCACCAGGAATCAAGACATTATTTAAAATTATGACACTTACAGGTAGTCACCCCAATCAAAGTGTACAAACGTCCTAACCCACTGTGGTTAATGAAGATTTTGTCTATTAGCCGATGAAATCAACTACCATCAGCTTGATTAGCTGCTAGATGCATACTCAAGGGTAAGGTAAGCAACTGTATTGACTGTGGTGTTTATAATGAAATTTTAGCACATGTAGAGACATGCTACTGTCACATCCTATAATCTTGGTAATTTTCAAACAAAGGATCAGTGAGATTTTGGAAAGATAAGCTAAGTCTTAAATGTGGGCATCAATTTCTATTAGCACCAGCTTGATGTGTAAGATCCTTTACTGCAAATCTACTCAGAGCATACACAAAGTCAACTATCAGACACACAAGCTACCTTGCACCACTGTGCAGTATGCACAGTAAAGCCAGGGATCTAATAACTTTCAATGTAATTATGATTACAGAAATTAGAGACAGTGAGAATCTTACTGGATCTATACCAGGTTTGGGATTCCTCTGCACAATTTGCTTTTCCAGGGCTTAACTCAGTTTAGGTGGTTTGCAATAGCATAAAACATAAAATAATGGAATGGTTTTTGAAAAGGACCTTAAGATCACCTAGTTCCAACCCCCTTGCCATGGGCAGGGAATCTTTCACTAAACCAGGTTGCTCAGAGCCCCATCTAAGCTGCTCTTGAACACTTTCAGGGATGGGGCTCACTGAAAACAAGTAGACTGGATTAGTTAATGGCACTAGAAATAGTTTATATCATAAACTTACTTTCATTCAAGAGAACGTAACAGGAGAGGAAGATAGCTTCCTCATAATCTGATTTCTTGGAAAATGCAGTCTGGCTCACATCTATGCTTTTGCTTGCCTTGGGTAACGTGTGGGAATTTCCCTGGCTCGCAACAGTTTTGGACCTGTAGAATTCCCCATTACGCCACAAGAAAGATCCCAGGTAAGCAGTTTTAGAGCAACATAACTTTCCAAAATGACTGAAACTATGTTTTGATTTTGAAAGTGCAAATGGCTACATATGCACAATAAACCCCCTAAACTAAGCTCACAGTGCAGACAGGAAAGATCACAAGACTAGCCCAGAAAACCTCTCGTGCATTAGCAATGGATGTTCTAATTTGGCTATCTGATAAAGCTGCCATTAACTCGAAGTACCTAAGCTGTCCTGTGGAAAAAGGCAGTCAGTTTGCATGTGAAGAAATAAGGACACAACGATACTACAATTTCCCATATTAACAATTCTGTAGCAATGACAGATCTATATAATAAGGCCGCCTAAAAAAATGTACACTTAAACCACTTTCCTCTATTTTTGCATGAAAAACTGCAGCTACGTCAACTTTTTCCTCACTGTGTCCTCTTTCAGCTGAGGAAAAACTCATTTTTAGAGACTGAAAAGTTTGAGTAAAGACAGGTTTGTGGTGCTTAGCAGGGCAGTCAGGTATTTCCCAGAAGCTTTATTAGCAGGTAAGTAATTTGAAGCAAACTAGGGTTTCAGAGCAAAAGCTACAAAACTGTGAGAAAACTGAGAACATGACAGACATTTCCACTACAGAACTGATAATATAAGTAGAGCAAGTTAGCTGTCTCACTCTTCAATCTTACCAAAACCAATACTGCTACAGAAAACAAGACAGTAAAGAAATAAAGACCCTCTCATAGTATATTATCTCAGAAGGAACTAAAATTACAGAAGCCTTTTTGGTCAAATACTGTCAGGTGAAGTCTTGTTTTAAACTTCAGAAGAACCTTCTCACAAAAAGTATCCCATAAAAAATTTAACAAAATAACTGTGACATACTAACTTCAAGGAAAGACTATCTTTTTCCTTCTTCTGAAAATGCATCATACATTACAAAGAAGTAGAAAATTTATATTACTTAAGTATTACTCATTTTAGTAAAAGTAAAGCCAGTAAGGAAGGTAGGCAGGCCTAAGAAAACCTCATGTCACAGATGTAAGAGAATTTGAACAAACCAATGTGACTTCATAAGTAGCAATTCAGTCTTTCGCTAGTCTGTCCCTCACATTGAAATGGACTTGGAAATAGACTGAATACATCCTGGATTCTAAAAACTAAGCCATGTAGCTTTACTGTAATCACCGATCAGATCCAGCACTATTTATCTTCCTGTCACAAAATCTTACAAAGGCATTATAAAATACCAAGTAATGCAGAAATAGCAAAAAGCATAGCACAAAATCACAGACTGATTTTCCAAAGAAATATCGCAGCCTTAAGATTTCATTGTCAAGGTTAATAGTTCATCTTGGTGTTGACAAAGACTTTCTTTTTGTTGTCTGGTTTTCAGTTTGTTTCAGTTTGTCAGGGGTGGGTTTTTTGTTGTTTTTTTGTTTGTTTTGTTTTGGTGGGAGGGTTGTGGAGGGAGAGGAAGGGGCTCTTGTTGCTGTTTCACAGATTCACAGAATATTCTAAACTGGAAGGGACCCACAAGAATCACTGACTAACTCTTTGGTAAATGGCTCATACAGGGATTGAACTCAAAACCCTGGTGTTATTAGCACCATGCTCTAGCCCACTACACTCATCAGTGTTTTATGTGTTGTTTTAAGGACCCCAGTTCACATCACTGCTGTAGAGATTTCCTAGCTCTTACTCTCTAGCTCCTCCTGTTTTGTATCTACAATAAAAAAAAACCCAAGAAGATAAGCTACTTATTAAGACCCCCTCAAAAGTCTTTTCTTTCCTGACTCACTGCATTTATTACTGATACACTGACTTTTACTGGGAGAAATTTCTTCATCCAAAGGGTTGTCAAGCACTGGAACAAGCTGCCCGCAGAAGTAGTTGAGTCACCACCCCTGGAGGTAATTAAAAAATGCACAGATGTGGCACTTAGGAACACAGTTTGGTGATGAACTTGGCAATGTCTGGTTTATGGTTGAACTCAATGATCAATCAAAATGATTCTACCATCTCCAGCTGGCCCACAGCAACCACCAAATATCTTCACATTCTGAGGTGAGTGTGCTTCTGAGGGTGCAGCTGTGCAAAATTGCTAAACTGATCTTCCAGATTTCATCTGCCAAAGGATGTGCGACTCCCTTCCTTTACTTTCATTCCCTCTCCTGTCCCACTGTACAACACACCTTTCTCCTTTACACTACTTCAGCACCCATCTTCAAATTCACAACAAAATTATCCTGCCAAGTATCTCAGTAAAATCCTTTTCTTGTTCTTCTATGTTCATTCCCTACTGAGCTACTGACTCAAACTGAATACTAAATTCTTACAAAACCCACTCAGAAGTAGCTGCGTCACTGAGCCATTCAGACGTAGAGTGGTGGAAGCAAGACATAACTGTTCCACATGACACTCAGTGTAAAGAAGTCCCCCCTTTTTTTTTTGCATGGACTTTACAATTGGCAAGTTGTCCCAATTATTGTACAGAGCCACTTTGCTCAAATGTCATCTAAAAACTTGTTGATACATATAAAAGTTGCAAGTCAGCCCACTTGTGTCCTGCAGCAAGAGCTTAGCTTGCTCATCAATATTCTTATTTTCTCTGTCTGCTTT